TATGGTCCCCAATATAAAGAATGTGTGTGCCCTAAACGAAAATACAATGGGTGGAACTAAATAAAATGAAATATGGATGGGGACCAAAGGTTATGAAGCATCGCATATAGCAGACCAGATGTATAAAAAGTAGGCAACATATTAATATGGTGATTATACAGTTTTTAAGTAGGAATACTGGAACCACCATACTAGAAAACGACGAAATAGATTTAATAGAAGGAAAAAAATACTTCAGAAATGCAATACTGTTGTGCTGCACGATCTTCGTAGATCGAAATCATAACATCTTTAAATAAATGTATGGGTCAATGTTTAGGGCATCCACACGACAAAAATAATGATGTGACAGGTTATACATAAATTTTACAGCACAATTTAAATGAACAATTTTAATGATGTCAATATTATTTAAGTTTTTTTTTTAAGATTGACCATTAGCAAAAATATGGCTTAAAGTTTTTTCCTCTTAACTCCTCGATAAACGGACAACCCAGAAAGAAGTGGTACTTAGTTTCAGCAGCAATCATTAGACAAAAACGTAATTTTTCTCAGTAGCATTTTGAAGTCATTATAAGAGCGTTAAAGCCCGCTACTCATCTGGCACATCTATGGGTTAAACAAACGGAAAACCCAGTCGAATATGAAAAAAAACCGTCTTCTTGGTACAATGGACAATTGATGAGATGCTACTCTAAATTTAGTGGGTATCAGACTAAGTTAAATTTCTGTCATTGTTAAATTACACCAATATGAAAAGTAATTCGAATTTAACCCTTATCCAATAAGTATATATTTTAATTAGCACAACAAAATAGAAAACAATTTCAAATACCTTAGTTCTTGTACTAGAATGGTCGATCTTAAATATTAAAAAAAATCTTGCCCTATTGAACATTTCAAGGCTTTTTTTTCTAAAAATTGAAAGTATCGTTGTTTCCACTAATTAAACAAAGAATGGTTATTTTGTCAATTTGTTTAAACCTTTTTTTTTAAAATGTATACGATTATATGGAAAAGTTTCTTGATTATAAGGAAAAGTTTCTTATTTTGAATCATATATATACCTATTAAGAAATATTTGCATTAGACAGTATCATTATAGCTTGTGTAAATGATTCTTAAACCAGAAATATTTAGTACATGATATGACCATTACTGTGTCGAACATCACTCATATGTCAAACTAGAAAACAATAAATTGACAAAAAGTGTTTTGCGCTCATTACAAATCATTTGTCCGCACTGCCGATGAACTGTTGTTCGTACTATACCATAATTCGGATAGCCCGAGGCCAGGAATACGTCACACAGCCTAACAATATTGCTGTTAGTCTGTAATAAGGTGATCAGTGCGGCTAATGAATGATCAAACCTCATCTGTGATATATCATAAACATTAACTGTTCCGGATTTTTAACGTTTTTTCTTATTTTCTTTGTGTTTTTTTTTTGTCTATTATTAGTATAAAATCGGTTTATATTCAATAGACAAGGTAAGCAACTTTGTGTTATACTTTTAATTATGTATGCTTTTTATAATTAATTTTATATAAAAATCGCCTTTTTTTACTTTCTCACACTGCCTTTTCCTTTACATGTAATATTCCAAAATTTTCAAATATTTTCTGAATAATGATGTGGGAAATAATGATAAGCCAATGTCCTTTTTCCATGATCTTTGTTCTCCGTAAACATTGAAATCTAGGAAATCCTGTTTTAATAATTTGCTTATATTTTACATCTAACAATGGTTCTGACAATTTACAGACTCTTTGTTTTGAAAAAAATACGACGAAAGTATAAGTAAAGTAAAGCAAAAAGCTTTCAATTTAGATAATAAAGCTGAAATTAATAGAAAGCCATTTGTCACAGTTTTGCGTCTTTAGACTGTAGTTATTACATACAATAATGTCCACCGGTATACATTAAAGTTTATATGATGTTCAGATATCAAAAAAACATATTTGAATATTCTTACAAGAGTATTTTCTAAGAGGACATATGCTGCAGTTTATAATGTACAAGCGGCTGTACAACGACTTGCACATTTGTTATCGAAGTCATCAAGTAAAAATAAAAAATGTTCACGGCATTTTTATTGCAATGGTTAGCAGTTTAGATTACAACTTATCTTCAGTTAAGAACATAACCGATGGAATTTGAACATATCGAAGAAGAAAGGAATATGATGTTCTAAAAACAGACTAGAGTTCAAGAATATTTGCCTTTGGTGGCTAAGAATGAGGGTCAAAGGATGTATAAAAAATGCGCGCACTGCGAAGTACGCTGTGAAAATAATGATTCAATCTTCTTTCCATTTCTCGTGAATAACATATAGATCTTCTGTGTAATTATATATGTATCTTTTTAAATATATTTCATTTTATTAGTTTCTAAAAACTGCTTGAACTTAACATTTGTGGTGTAAGATATCAGTAATTTTTCTAGACATATTTGACGCAATTTTCGACTGAGTCAAGGATATGCGAATGAATATTGTCTCAAAATTAGGAACTAGTTATGTACGGGTATATATCTGGTTAAAACCATTTCAAGCTTCTAATTTATATATATATGTGTCAGCAGGAAAGTCGAACTTCAAATGAATGTTCGTTGTAATGTGTTGTTTCATATATATTTTTTGTTTCATTTTTTAATTTGTAACAAACACCTTTTTGAAGTCGTAATTAAATCACATATTAAATAAGTAGTATTTTTAAGATTTAAATGGCAAAGTCTTTAAGTTATAGATTTAAAATGACTTATAAGAAAAACCGAAAGATTATGGTAACCGGCATTGTCCAATAGACTGTTTTATATTTTTAGATAGGTTATTTTTAGAATGTGACTAAAACGTTGATTTCTTGCGACCAGGCGTGTCAATATGGTTCTGTTATTCGTCATCTAACGACATATCCGCCTCACATAGTCATGTACTCGGGAAATAAAATAGTAATTAGATAGTATATATATTCCTCGTAAAACGACACTTATTTAATAATAAATTCTGACATTTCAGATTGACCGATGATCAATGATAATGCATTAGTATATTATAATGTTTGTATTCATCTATTCTATTGAAAATATAGATGTACAAATACTAATTCCTTGGGGTCTATAATTATGATAGTATCAAATTGATTAAAGTATTTAATAAATTAGATAAAAACCAACAAATGTAAATAAAACGTGTCAATTAGTACAGCTTGCATAAATTACTGATTGCCATTAACCGTTTGTGAAATAACTATGTATAGTACTTTAGAAAAAAATCATTAAAGGAACTCCACTGAGGTGCAAAAGCCTAAAAACATGAACTTCTTATTTCTTACATAGATCCGCCGAGGCACTTAGAACAGAAAGAAAAAACAATTACAAAAAAGCAATTTAGAAATATTCTCAGAAATAAGTTGAAAAACATTTTGCGTACTATTCATAGTCCAATTAGTATAAAAAAACGTTGCAACGCTTTTCAATTTTGAGATATTTTTCACAATCAGAATAACTATTCTGGAAAAAATGGAATGAGCGAATGATCTTAAATTTTGCACACAAGTTATTGATCTATACCTACATTGAATTGAACATTAATCTTGGAAAAATATTTCTAGTCTCTCCGTGTCAAAAAAAACTCAGTGGATTCCCTTTAAAATCACTTTTCATTGTTAATCAGACATACTGTATATATCTAAAAGATATCAGACAATTTAAAACGTTCCTGCAAAAACGTTTAACATCCGATTTATTGTTTTATTTGATAGTAGAACATGCTTCTGAGTAGTCATGTGGTCATATTGAACAATAATGACTTGTACATCTCTTAACTAGTGAGCAGAAGCTTGGCGCCAACTGTCATTTACTTTGACAATACACACAGATAAACTGTCTTTATTAGTGCGTATTAGATAATAAACGATAATATGTATTGTTTTTGAAAACTGTTCAATATCATTATAATATATATACACATTTGTTTGAACGTTTATGTTTATTAATTCGTTCAATTCTTAAACGTAAATGGTATCCCATTTCTTGGCTATTTATAAAGCTGTTTCTGGTAGAAATATTATTTCTTATATCCTTTTTTAGATATATTAACAGAGACATATAAGAAAATATGGTATAAACAGTTTCCAATATATAAACAAGTCCATAAAGAAATATTGACACTTTCGCAATAACTAAAGAACTTTTGCTAATATAACAATCACCATTTTATGACAATGGTATGAAAATATGAGTATAAAATTACGTCATTTATGTCATACATGTATTAATGACGTTTAATAAAGCTCGCACCTGTCAATACCCGATTGAGGTTGTCAGTTACGTAAAGTATCAATTATAAACGTACAAAGACACTTGAGCCGCGTCACGACAAAACCAACATAATGGGCTTGCGACAAACCCTATTACAAGTAGAGAAACTAATAGCGAACAGCATGAATCCTGATCAGACTGCGCGGATGCGCAGGCTGATCTGGACCCATGCTGGTCGCAAACCCACTATGTTGGTTTGTCATGACGCGGCTCATTTCATTTTGCACCGCAAACGAAAGTTTTAGCATACGTTTTATTTAAGACTTTTACATGGTATAACGCCATGCAAATAGATAAATAAAACGATTTTAACGTCACTTGATCATGATAACACAAAATGCAATATGATACCTTTAAGAAATGCAATTTTACTAGGTTGGTAATATATTGAGAAGTGGTTTTTTTATTGCATTGTAATCAATCGTATCTTCGCATGACAACATAACATACTTAAGACACAAATAAATATCTGATTTTTATATCAATTATTTACCTAAATACAAAAACAAGATTTGATGACAACGTGCTTAAGATCATTCCATCAAAAATAGTCGTTAATTAATTATAAAACATGGCTATAACATTGTTATTATAACATTACACGCCTGTTTTATTTACTCTAATTACAATAGGCAGTTATTTCCCCATCAACTTTTGTTTGTAAACTTTAGCAATACAAATGGGAACCAAATCTGCGGGTCAGGTACTGTGCTTCATATTTGGGTTGATACTAAGATTGGCATGGACATACCGAACAGGTGCTCCAACCAGGGCATGCGGAGATATGACGCCACAGCATGGTAGCCCAATAAATACAGAGCCAGCCCCGTACCTTGTCGAAGTCTCGAAGACACAGTATACTCCAAATGAAAGAATATATGGTAAGTATTAGATAAGGCGTTTAAATTGATATACTTTCGATGATATGATTTTTGATTTATACTTTATGAATTCGAAATTGTCTTATCGAGCAAAATGGCAAAATACAGAACTATTTTTAGTTAGCAGGTAGGGTTCAGTCTCATTTTAAAGTGTATACAACTATATAAGATATGGCGCAAAAGCATTTCTAAACGGCCAAAATTTTACTTAAAATAGCACCATATTATTATAGTGTTCTGGAACGTAAATTACATTTTGTATTGTCTTTACCTACAATACCAATGTCTGTAAAATAACTGAGACATTCTATGTTACAACTTTTTGGAGAATCGACCGAAAGACAATGTACTTTATACTAAAGTATGTCATTTTAAACATTTTTATTATGTTCATAAGAACTGCATTTTACACTACTTTAAGCGTACATTTAATTCTTATTTAACATTGTTATTATAACATTAGATATAATAATGTTCATATGGGCATTAATAGAGTCTTAATGAACTATTCGTGCTTTTCTAACATTAACATCTACAACTTTATCACGATTTTTTAAAGTTTATTACTAAGGTTAATATCATTTTGATGTTCCGTAAACAAATGAGGCAAGAAATTGCTTCCATTTCTATTAAATGCATTTTAATTTTAGTGTTCTGTTATACGGTAATTTCCAAACATTTACTCTGAATAATCGTTTGCCTCTTTTGATTTTTGGAAATAAGTTAGTATTTTATATGGAAGTAAAAATACTGCTTTGTTTATATTTTGTTACGTTTATGAAAATTCAGCGCTATTTTCTTCATGTTGTAAGCATCTAACAATGCTCTTAAACCATTGTTTTTTAACATTATAAAACTCGTGTGTGTTCTTTCTAAAGACGGCCAAAAAATGTTGTTTTTACATTTTCTGAGGCATAATGGACCTTTTAAAATTTATTACAAAATAATACCAGATTTATTTTCCGAATGTTTTGCTAAATGATAATTAATACGTGTTTTACAATATGTCTAACTAATGCATCATGTCAAACTTGACCGGAATAAAAACCTACGCCGTCAATAATTCAAACTGGTGTTTTCCTTTATATGACAATCATTTTACTGACCACTGGTCAACGCCTTGTATTTTCCTTTGTAATGTGTGCACATAAACCCACATTCTTATCATATTATACAATAAAATATTGATATGGGAACTTCACAAGTCGCCCCAAAAACGCCAAAAAGGAACGCTTTGCAAATTCTTTTATCATATACAGATTTCTGTAGAGCATACTACTGCATATGGGTCTAAAATTGAGTTTATGTATTCAAAAAAGTGTTTCAATATTTTATTTTTGAAAAAAAAAAAGAATCGTCTCAGGTTAACAATTTCTTTTCATTCATATATTTATTTTGTGACCAAATGTTCAGATGTACAGATGACATGGCACTGTCACTTAATATATCATTTATTACGTAGAGGATATTAAATGAGTGCAGATTCAATACTGAATTTATTGAACTCGTTGATTGAAGTAATATTTTGCCCGCTAGAGACTCGCTTAATTTTATTCAACTCGTTCAATAAATTCAGTACTGAACATACACTCATTCAATAGCCTCTATATACACAACGTTTAAAATAAAATGCTACTCGTCTGATAATTATAGACAGATAATACAGATTGCACTATAATAAATTTGATGCTAATTTAGAAATTACGATATATAGTTACATTTACTGTTTACATTCCATGCTGAAATTTGAGGTGTCATGTAAAATGCAATTATCATTTGAACCGATATGAATTTCAGATCAACTGACCACTTTGTAGTTCAGTTGAATTACGTCAGTGATTACGCAGGCTACACAAGTTACATTTATTCTATTCTTGATACCCATCGTTTCCTTTGTTCAAAATATTTTTGATTCGGACATTTTGTTGTTGTTTTATTTTGGCGCTGTTGTACTTCTTTTTAGACAAATTTCTGATGAATCAAAACGTAAATGGCCTACTAAATAATTATCTAAAACAAGAAAAATATTACATACATTCGTATGTAATATAGGTACGATTGCATACTACTTTTTGTGAAGACTTTATGTTTGCTGAATTAAAGGTGTAATGTAATATGAACAAACATGTCATGAGATATTTTATATTTTTAAACATTTTCATTGAATGTAATTAAAATTATTCCGTTAATAGACATATAACAATCTTATTTACAAATGAATTGACAAAACAACAATCCCAGAAGCATTTAAGATAATAACAATCATTGGAAATAATGCATATAAATTGTAAATTTGTGTATGACAACTCAACCCCCTAAACAAAACATAATAGACTCAACAAAAACAAGCGTCTGCTTCTTCACCTAACTAGTTGCATGACCATGATTAGCAATTTAGCAAACCAAATCTAAGAGATAAACCTATTGTAAAAATAATACTATGACCACAGCAGATTTCGTACAAAAAAACAATTGTTTATTTTATTTATTTTGGTCGCTTTTTTTTTGGTCTTTATTATGATAAGTTTTTAAAAAATTTATTTAATTTTACATCTGTCATAAGAAATAACCATTTCGATATAGAAAATGCATGTATTAAAATGATACCATGATTTCCGCAACTATATACTTTATGATAATTCCGAGTAGTGCAAATAACTGCATTTGATTCACAACGTTACCTGTGGCAACCTAACTGCAGCCAATTGTATAAACGATGGTTAAAATATACCACGGTAAGTTAATTACCGCGGTATATATTGTGGTTAGGTAACCGCGCGGTTATTCCATTTGTATAAATAAATTAACCACAAGGTAACCTAACCACGCAAAACTGAAAATTTAACCATGGTAATATTACCAATGATGCACCAGGATGTGACGTAATTTTCGCGGACAAACGTCAGACATTGTATATCTTGTTGAATAGTGCTCTTTAATTTATGTTCCATGCTTGACTTTGATATTATGAATTATTTAATGGAGTTCAGAATAGCGTAGCGTTATTTAGCATGTAACAATAATACAAATGTAAATGTTAAAGCGCCATTTGAAAATACATATACCTGTATTCATTTTTATTGCTGAATTAAGTTTTTTTTATGATTTCTTTCATATAATTAATTGATATAATGGTATATCTATAATAAAGGTAAAATAATCGGTCAAAGTTTTCTTCAAGTTATTGTTTTGATTATTCAAAAACCAATAAATTTGTGATCCAAATGTTTCTGCTGTACTTATAAGGACTTGAAACGACTAAACCTAAATGCCTGTTTGACAGACATAAAAGAATGCCACAATGAAAAGTCACTGCTGATAGAATAACGACTATTACTTCAAAGAATATAAAATGAATAATGTTTGATCAATTTTTTATTTGAACATCTTCACATATGAAATTGTTTAAAATTTTAGTACGTATACGAGGCTGTGGACTGGCTAAGTTCAAGGGTTTCATGATCCAGCCAAGGTCGGCTGTTTATCCCGATAGGCCAGCCTTCCTTGGCGCTTTTCTCCGGGTTCGTGGAACACGATATGAATGTGTCAGATCAGGTGTAAGTATGAACTTTGACAATCAATAATTGGATTTTGATATTTCATAGTCTATATTTTTGTGTATATTATTTTTCTGATTTCTCGAGGACGTATGCAATGAATATCTATTATTTTAACCTCAATCTATATTATATATACTGGATTAATAGTAATGTCTAAATATACATTATTACATATGTTTTTGAAATGCTTGCCATATGTAAATCATGACGCTTCATGTTTAATGAAATATTTTTGTTCAAGACAGAATAAGGGCTTATTAAATTATATTAAATTCTCGACATTTGTAGGCTGTTTTAACCCATAGCAGTCCCGACGAAAGAAGTTCTGTCACGTTGACATGGATTGCACCACCTGGTGCTGCCGGCCATGTTGTCTTCAGGTAGGATGGATCTTGTAAACATGAAATGAAACATAATTAAACCGCGTCATGACAAAACCAACATAGTGCGTTTGCGACCAGCATGGATCCAGACCAGCCTGCGCATCCGCGCAGTCTGATCAGGATCCATGCTGTTCGCTATCAGTTTCTCTATACTTGTTATAGGGTTCGTAAGCGAACATCATGGATCCTGATCAGACTGCGCGGATGCGCAGGCTGGTCTGGATCCATGCTGGTCGCAATTCTATTATGTTGGTTTTCTCGTGACGCGGCTCATATGATTTTACTCAAAGTTCACGTTCTCATGTTAAATATGTTAATTGTAAACAGCCAAAATTATAACAATTTAAAAGTTTGTTTGATATGTTTTAAGTCATACTGACACTTATGTCATATGGTTACTTTCCTGCTTTGGTAAAAGACGACCTCTCGGCAAAGGACGCCCATAACATTTAAAAGATTCACTATATCCAATAAACAATATGATTATGTTTAAATAAATAGCTTAAAATTATTCTCTATTTTTACAGGGTTACTTTTGTTCAGTCATATATGAACTACTGGGTTGGAATTAATTCACCTGTTATATACGACGGCGTATCACGTGACCTGTCGATAATGCAGGCTTTCAGTCTACAGTCAGCTACAGATCAATCGTGCTTACCCTCACGCCAATCGACAACTACAATACGTACAACAACCACCACAAGAAGGACTACAACAACATCCAGGCCAACTACATACCCACCGACCATACCAACAGAGCTATGGTTCGAAACAACAAATAAGCCAACTACGACAACCACAAAGCGTCCAACAACAACAACAACTCGAAAAACTACAACATCTACTACAACCCGTCCAACAACTACTAGACGAGCAACAACAACAACAACTGAACCACCTCCGATAATCACACGACGTAGAGAACAACCTACACAAATCGCTACGAAGCAAATAACAACTCAGGCTGAATATTATGATTATTATTGGGAAACCACAACTGACAAGAAAAAAATAACAACAACAAAAGCTTTACCAGTTACAACATCTAGAATTCCTACAACAACAATGAAATTTTATGAGCAAACTTCAACGACTGACTTTCCAACAACTACGGCAAAAACAACAACACCTGCAAGTACAACAACAACAACAACAATTGCACAAACTACAACCAGACCTTTACCGGCAACAAAAAGAATAATTACTACATCATCTCTACCAGAATCAACCTTTGATCCGTATATGGTAGATATATGGACCACTACTAATGCTCCAAAAACGACTAAAGCCGCAGAGCTGCAAATTATACCAACGGCAAATCCCCCTACTGAGAAATCACCAACGACAAGGAGACAAGTGCCAGTCACAGTGAGACAAATGCCTGTCACAAACGAACAAATACCGACAACAGTTAGTCAAACGCCAGTTACAGACCGGCGAATACCTAATACAGTTCGGCGAATAACAGTCTCTGACAGGGAAATTCCTACCACTTTCAGACACACAACAGTCACAGAAAGACAATTACCAACAACAATAAGACAAAATCCAGTCACAGTCACTGTCAGGGAAATACCAACAACAGTAAGGCAAATTCCCGTCACTGTCAGACAAATTCCTACAACAATAAGGCAAATTTCAGTTACGGACAGGCAAAATATCATTGTCACAAACGGACAAATTCCAGTAACGGACAGGCAAATTCCTTCAACAGTGAGGCAAACTTCATTTACAGACAGAGTCATCCCTGCTTTTAACGAACATGTTCCAGTTACTGTTAATCACAGTCCTGTTATAAATGGTATAAATGGGCAACTTGTCGTAACAGATAGACAGATAACCGTCGCAGATAGACGAATTCCTACCACCAATCCTGACTTTCATAAGCCAAATATAATAGTTTCGACTGCAAGCATTAAAACGCCTTTTATAGAATCAGTAACAAATTTATATAAACCGAAACAAAAAACAACAACAACCACAATATATCCTAATATAAACACAGAGTCGTACATTCAAAGGTCAACATACTATTACGACTATGATCAAAGTCAAAGTGGCAATAGAAATTTACAACATAGTCAGCAATATATACCAACAGACACAGCATTCCTGCCATCAGAACAGAACTACATCCCTACAGAACGTACATATATCCCGTCTGATAACTTAAGAAATTCATCAATTTATGAACAAACAACATATAAACAGTTCAATCCGACAACTAAAAATCGACAACAGAAGTTCCCTCCATCCACTGGTTTACCATTTTATAGAACTACAAAAAGACCCCAGTTTTCCGAAACAAGCACGCATAGTCCATCTTCTAAAACGGATACATATCTCACTTTTCCACCACAAACATATACTCCCAAACTACCATGGAAACAAACCACGGAATTATTGTCCTCAAGCACAGCGGCCAGTGTGCAAACCACAAGAATTTTACCGAGAAAAATAATACCAACATATAAACCAGCCGAGTTGAAGATGTTGCCGGACCCTGAATGTGGCGTTACACGTGGATGTTTTGATGACTGTAGAAACGGTGCATGTAATTTTATTGTGTCATGGAAACCGGAGAAAAATCTGACAAAATTTGAAATCCGGACCAAGCCAATGACAAATGGACAAAACTGGGCCGCCATTGGATTCAGTGACGATAAAATGATGGTAATATACTATTTCATATTTCTATTCAATCCAAATGATATATCTTATGCAAATAATTTGGAGTGAAATATTTAAGCTGAAATAAATAAAGAATGTGCAACAAATTTGTTCATACCTTTTTTTTCGGTTATGCTAAGGACTTGCACATATTTAATTAAAGATTTGATTAAACTGTGTTAAACTTCATAAGATTTATTTTCATGGATATGACAAGATAAGACTGTTTGTTCGTTTTCTACCCTTTTTACCTTTTCATAGCTTTTTCGATGTAATTTTGTTTACTTATTTGTTATTATAGTAAGTAACATTGTGATGGCCGATAAGCATTACAATTGGGTGCTATGTTTTTTAGGTTGCGGTAAGGCATACCGGATCTTTCGTATGTTTTTAAATGGAGAGCATCAAGATTTGTTTAAGAATTTGGATAAATCTAAATAACAATGAAAAATGCACCAATAATGTTGTGTAGATACAAAATGCTACGTGTTATATGACATAAACGATATATCTTTAGCTGATAGTGACTATGCCCAGTTATGCATCTTTATGTTTAGAAATGTCTCTAAATGTAGTTATTCAATGTTTATAAATATAATTGTGCATGTTGATGATTTAAATTTAAATGTTAATGTGACTATGATTCTATTTACCAGGGTTTCGATAGTGTAACTGAATGTATCACAGAAGGAGATACGATACAGGTCTACCAATCATATAACTTGGATTATTACAGAAACATGAGGTTATTAACGGTATGTTCAGAGTAGAAATTTTAGCTTTTCACACTAACACACACATTTGTGCAGCTATTTCTAACTATGTTACAGTTAATTTTTGTGAATCTTTTGTGTCTCTCTGACACTATTTACTACAAAGTAAAAAAATCAGAATTCCTTAAGAAGTCAAAATTGAAAATGTTGCTGGCTTGGTTTGATTGAGCCTGTTCATGGACTGCACACATTTTCAGATAAAACAAAAAGGTTTTATGACAATGAATTCGTCAACCGCAAAGAGGAATCAGTTACTAGAATTTGGTACATAACGTTTCAAAACATTTGAAAGTAGATATAAATGTTTAAATATATTTCGTCTTTTGCGTTTCAGCCAAAACTTGGCATTATCGAAGAATATGGATCATCAAATAACGGGATATTTAGCTGTAGCTTTACAAGACAAAATTTCGTTGATGGAGAGAAAGATGTGTTTGATCTGAACAAGGACTGGCACATGATGTTTGCCGTAGGTCCAGCAGTTAATGGTAAGATAGCTTACGATATTAGTTATTTTTGGTGTAAATGGAACGTTTAATTAACACTATAAGTAAAGTTTTGAATGAAGTGATGAAAATATAGAATGTCTAGCTTGTGTTAATGAAATGTGATCAAATTTACAACCAGAAAGAAACAACAACAAGGTTTATCAGTATATTTATAACTTCATTCACAGTGACATGCATTTATGTGCATGTTCAAAACTTTACAACATAACTACGCATAAACTGTATGTAAAACAAAGATCAACAAGAAAGGGCGGCATTCCATGAACGAATGTAAACGATGTGGGCGCGAATCGTCAAACTTTGCTATTTGTGTCTTATACAATTGCTTTGCTTGTATACGTCATGTGAACGTTGCATTGCTTTGTTGATCTTTATTCTCGTTTTTTATATACAAACAGTATTTAACAAGTCATAATATATATATGTGAAATAATTGTTTAATATCTTTACGTATTTCATCATTTATCTGAAGAAATTCTTTTTGTAAAGAACAAAACATATATTCAAATACACTCAAATGTAAAACTTTTCAGGCGTAAAGATACCTCACCGCTATGATATAGTGCCACCAGTTACTACAGACCGGATGGACCTCCAAAGATATCCACCAATGCACGAGACATATGACTATAGAGCTGCAAGAAAAGAAAACATAAAAGTGATCCAGACAAAAGAGACAGTACTTGATCCTATTCAGGTACATTTTAATATTATTCTGATACATTAAATGGTTTTGCATTTCATTGCTTTAACAGTATTTTATTGAAACTTCAACGTAGAGGTGATGCTGGATTGTGTAAACTTACTTATAAAAAAACTTACATCAGCGGCAAGGATGAATTGATTAGACTTAACGTATTGGCTCTCTATGCTCCAACTCGCAAATCTTTCTCTACTAACCTCATTGGGAGTGTAAAGCATATTCGATATGTTAACTATATGTTTTTGATGTAAACATAATGTATTACATAAAATGATTTCGTATAGCCAATGTTTATATTGTATACTGGACCAATAAAGACATTTGTGTGTTTGGTATCATACAAAGTACCCTTTCATTAATAATTTTTAGACTTATCTTTGTATTTGTTTATGTCTTACTGTATATCTTTAATAGTTTAGAGAGTTGTTTTGCTTTATTTCAGCATAGACGTATCACCATGGATGAATCATGCGGAACAAAGAAATCTTGTTTCCAGGATTGCACGGGAGAAGGTTGTAAATTCATTGTGACATGGGAAGGAGCACTAGACTATGTGTTATTCAATATAAGAGCCGTACTTAATGAAACTGTAAACCAATGGATAGCAATAGCCTTTTCCGAGGACGACAAAATGGTTTGTATATTGCAATTATATGCATCATTTGCTTACCTTTGCTTTCATTACTGCGTGCTCCTATGGCTTATCTTTAAAAATTTAGATAACAGGAATTCTGAAAAATAAAAAACATAAATGTAATACTATGCAAAAAGGAAATCCTATAAAATGAAGATATTAACTAAAGTGTCAACATTTTAAGCCAGTTTTGTGGATGTGACATAACATAATAATGCATATATAAAAAATATATTAAATTCTTTAAATTCGTTGGGCGATTATATAAATCATATGATAAAGTATTAATAAGATATTTAAAGTTCGAACCTTAATGTTGTTAATAACATGTCTTTTATAACACCAGTTCTTGTTACTTCCAAAAAGCAAACTCGATTAAGTTCTAAGGAGCGACTCAATAGGGTTTTAGATAATACACATTTGGCCTAAAATAAATAATGTTTAAATTAATCATAACGGGGATAATGCTAGATATGATATTGTTGTAGGGAGATGACAGTGTGGTTCAATGTGTGTCTAACGAAGCTGGTGCTATAGAGATCAAGCATTCATACAATGACGACAAGAACAACATAAGAGTTAAACAGCCTACCCTTGGCCTGAGGAATACATCTGCACGTTTTGTAGACGGTGTTTTTGAATGTTCGTTTGTAAGAGACCGTCATGTAGATGATGAAAAGATTTTTGATTTGGACAGAAACTGGAATATTCACTTTGCTTACGGCAAATCAAAGAAAGGTATTTTCACATTTTTGTCACTTTGCCTTCAAAGACAATTACACTTGTTTATATTTTAAAATTGTCTGCTTTGTTTCTGTTATAAATGCTGTAATGCCAATGTTATTAGGTTTCTTATTTATAAACCAGAAGACATTCTGGTTTCTACTTTGAGTATACCTTTTATATTTCAGGTATAATGCTACCGCATACACTAGCAGAAAAGCCTCATGTATCAGACGACTCAGTTGACTTCTCCCGCAGTATTCTTAGACCGAATCTAGTTACAGCTAGTCCTTTCTTTATCAAAATTCACGGTAAATACTACTATATTGTTTTGTAAATATGATACAGACTGTAAGATGTTACTTGTCGAATATCTGTCGAATCTGATAAGTAATAGTTATAGTACATGAAACGAGTTAGTTACGAGGATATAACACTGGCTGGGGCGAAATCAATTAAGGAGTGTTTCTGCTAAAAAATGTCGACGCCGTTAGGCCGAAACAATTTTTTTGCAGAAACATCCCAAGATGTCGCTCCAGCCAGTGTTATACCCCCGTAACTAACGTGTTTTATGTACTAAAACTGCTTTATCGCATTTTCATTTTTTTTTGTAATAGAAATCAGGAAAAAAACAACAAAAAACATGCATTTCTCCTTCTTGTGCCCTTTCATTTTTTTCACCTTCTCACTCTCAGATAAAATGAACGAATACCAGCTAATGATGTCGTAATTTTAATTTTTTTTTTGCTGTTTTTGGAATGTTCGTTACCGCTGCCCCATTAGAGTCTCAGTGAAAAAAGCTATACTGATATATACAAGGTGCGAAAAAAATTCAACCGCTATATAGCAGTTGTGTTTTTTTTCCCTATATGAATCAATGAAAAAAACTGTCCTGCTATATATCAATACAGTTTTCAAATGTTCATTGGAAGTGTACTGAGTATAATGGGTTAGTAAGAACAAAGGAAAAGTTCCAAACCATATGCGATAAATACATATATATCATATCTGTAATATTGTAAATTTCTATAAGAGCATCCAACTTAATACATGTATCAAACATTTTTCAAGTCTATATTGCTTTTTATAAGAACATTAATGTATTTGCATGCAAAGAATTCAAACGTAATTCCTATCTATGTTTAGAACAAAGATCAACAAGGAAGGGCAATATTTAATAACCGCATCAAGTCAACATACAGAAAAGGCAGTTTATATGAAATAATCAGTTAAATATCAGCTCACATCAAATAGCCCTTTCTTTTCTAAATAACATAACATTGCAAAGAGTGCTACCGTTTGGACTACCTTTTCTATACACATGGTGTTCCATATTTTTATTACTTCAGTCTTTCAAAGTATTAATGCAAATTTATCCAAAAGGAAGTTTGCGTTCATTTTATAAAATTATTGATACATTTGTACTATAATGTTTTTTCGTTCTTGATAAAATAATTTCATCTTCGACGTTGAATTTCATGATTGCTCTGTGTATTCAATACCACGTGTACCTATTTTCATTAAATCTCATAGCAACATATGTTGCAAACTGTAAATCCGGATTAAAGTATTTTTTATCTCTTATGCAAAGCTTTTCCTTAGCACGGGCGTACAGAAATAAAGAACGTTATTAGTATTTTAATCTATAAATAGCTATATCCTCGAAATAAGTGCTGTTGAATTAGAAAACATGAAACAAGCAAAACAACAACAACAACAAAACAGTTGTTTTTACTTGAATTTTACACAAACAACACTTTTTTCTTTCATTATAAAGAGTTATGTTCTCCATCTTTTTCAAGTACACCATTATCAATACTCAGAAATTGTCTAAAACGAATGCACAGAATATAGTTTTGCATGTTTATCATTACACATATTTATCGTACAATTTAAACTGAACGCACGTTGACTTTTTTCACATCAGATCGACGTAATTCAGATGTAATCTTTTGCATAATTTTGTTTTCATATGTTACAGCTGCATTGATGATCTTTGCGTGGATATTGTGTGCATCAGTTGCTAGTGTGATTGGGCGTTATTTCCAACCTTATTGGTGGGGCGAGAAAATGTTCGGTAGTAAAACTTGGGTGAAGGTCAGTGAAACATGTACTCATTTATTTAAAATATATTCATATTCCCCCGATTGAAGGCAAATAGTGATCGCACAGTCTATTTTTCATCTGTACAGGAGCATCTCCACTCCCACTAATTTGACTTGAATGAAACCGCTACTGAAACGATTGTCATTAAGCCTAGTTGTGTATATCGTTAGATTAAAGCTTTTGGACTTATGGCCCTTTGATCTTTTTCATACATATGATCTGATGTTGGTTTGCAGTAAAATCTTGTTTATTCGATGCACTCATGCACTGTCTTTGTGGAATTGTCTGAAACCTTCATCTACAATGCATAGATATATATCCCAGGGAGGAAAACAAAATCGTATGATTGTTGTGTTTTACTTATTGACTGTTTCCAGAGCATATTCAGTTAAATATGCTAAAACGAATCTAAAATTTATTATTGGAGCATCTATCACTTGACAGTAACAGCTCTTGTTATAGTGTTTGATTCCATGCAAACGTTTGGAGTGTCGTCTTAAAATCAGACGGTGCATTTTCAGCAAAATGTACGGGAGAATAGATATACAGAAATGTATGAAACAAACAAAAATACAATTATATTTCGTTATGTTCTGTTACAGGTACATTGGTTATTTGTGATGATCACATGTTCAGCAGTTATTGCTGGATTTGCAGTCATCTTTGTCGGAGTTGACGGTATCAGCCAATTGTTTGAGGTATATGATCTCTATATATGTTTTCTTTCAGATTTGTGTTAACTTTTATGAAAATTAAGCAATAGCTGAATAGCAAATAAATAAGTAAATACTTGGTCAAGTGTTTGTAATATGTGATTAAACTTAGCCTAACGTGCTTACTATCTACATACAATACCTAGAAAAAATCAAAATGTACACAAATTTCCATGAACCCTGTTAGTAACCTGTTAGAATACTAGTCATAAAAAAGTAAATTCTGTCATATTTTATTTGAATAATCTAATTGGGAACTTTAAACCCTAAAACAGCATAACAAGGTTAAATTGAGCTTTTTCATGAACGGTAATGGTTAATGCAAACTACAGTTCAAGCCCCCTAGCACCGGCTTTAGTGTAACTCAACATTTAAATATCATCATGATGTACGGTTAGGAAATTGAAAACAGCCACAGATATGTTCATAAGGTGTTGAATCATGGAACCGTTACTGTGACAATCTCGTGTCGCATTTTTTTATGAAAAGCGGCGTAATCCCCCCCCCCCACACACACACAAAAAAAAACTTAAAAAGAAAAAAAAACAACAAGTATTTGTGTTTTAAACGAGAAAACAAATGGTGGAACTAAATATAATTGAATTTAGAAAATGGGTCAGAATTTATGAAGCCTGAATATAAGTGTTACATATTTTAAGCTATATGATTTTTGAAGATTTACTCTTCACATTAGAGACGTGTCGCAATTATGAGTAAACACTGCTAAAAAGGACACATTTACATACATGTATGTCAACCAATAAATATCATCAAAACAAAACTTAATATGTTTCTATTATTTCTATTAAACTTGATATAGTTTGAGAAGAATATAAGGAATATTTGAAGTATAAGTACTTACGAGATAAATGATTTGTTTTAATGGCCATAGTTTCATTTGAAAGTTTATATAAAGCACAATATTCCAATTGGTAAAATTATATACATTGTGTTATTTTTTTTTTTTTATATTCCAGCACCCGACTTACACTTTTAATGGCACCCATCCAATAATGGGATTGGTAGTGTCTCTGCTAGCCCTGCTTAATGTAAGTATGAAATGGACCTCCCAGTCCAATATGATCACTTTAATATGCATTATACAATTCTTGTAATTTTATACTTTAACTGGTATATGAAAGGGCGAATTTGACATTGACAGTTACAAGATGTTAGCCTGTCTCTGACGCATTTATTTAAAAACTCTGATAAATATTCACATTTTTGGTGTTCGTGACGAAATTATAAAGTAAAACATTTGCTTAGTAAAATGTGTACCTTTATTCAATTTAGCCATTCTTGTTATGTCTTCGACCATCGAAAGATTCATAAGGGTGAATTTGACATTAACAGTTACAAGATGTTTGCTTTTCTCTTTGACCATTTCTCTAAATTTGATAAATATTCACTTTCTTGTTGATTGTGGTGAAAATATAGATACTTGTTTAGTAAACATTGTACCTACATGTATTCAATTTAGCCATTGTTTCTATTATGTCTACAACCATCGGAAGATTCATAAGGGTGAATTTGATATCAACAGTTACAAGATGTTTGAGTGTCTCTTTGACGCAGTTATTTTAAAACTCTGCTAAATAAAGATTCACATTTTTGGTGTTTGTGACGAAATTATAAAAAATTTGCTAAGTAAAACGTGAACTTCTTTTTAATTTAGCCATTGCTGTTGTGTCTACGACCATCAGAAGATTCCTCCAGCAGGGCGTTTTTCAACTGTTTGTACTGGCTGGTCGAAATAGGAGCACATGTCCTTGCTGGTTAGTCACTTATGATTCACTAATGGAAACGAATTGTTATGTTATATATTTATGAAAACAAAATTTAGGTGATACATCGATTCACAAACTAATTCATGAATACATTTACAGATAAACTAACTGTATTTTGTCATCAAATGATTTGCTAAGGTAATCGATATCATATATCATTATGATGGTACTTGATATATAAAAGCTTTGACTTTTAAAAAGCAACATTTTAGTTTATATGTTGTATGAATAAAATATTTAGGAAAAAAGAAGAAATTTCGAGAGCTATGGAAAAGTAGGTTTGTTTATAAGAGACGATAAAATTGCAAAGTATCTCGTACCCTCTCCCCGATAACCGACTTCATTAGTATTCAATCGCTAGAGTTTAGAATATTATTCGTTTACGCTCGCGAACTGCAATATGATCATAGGACTTTTATAATTCAATCTTTGTGTAAATACTTCCCACTTTGTTTCAGTTGTAACAATATATGCTGGTTTTGGTCTGGCTAGCTTCCTTGTACCATCCTTCTTCACTTTCCTTATCATCGGCTTCACTGTGTACCAAATCCTCATCCTTCTGTTCATGGAGGCACTCAAAAGTTACGATGCAAAGAAGAGTAAGTATAGTATGAATATTAGTATTCAACATTTTAACCAAACACTTTACCGATACAAAAGATAGTCAATAAATTATATATAAAAATATTGGAAGTAAGACAAAAACATTCATATTGTTATTTAAGGTATCACAAACGAGGATGTTTAATAGTATGCTTTGAACAAGAAAAAATACTTTAAATGGGAACATTTGCTTGTGAAATAAACAAATGGTTATTATATGCCTATTGCATATTTCACATATATTTTTCGTAAGTAGAATTAACTTACGCTCAAATTATCCGCTTTGTCTTTATATTTTTGTATGTTCGCGGTAATTAAAAAAAAAACATAGCATAATGAACAACGTGATGGGCCGACGTGGAAACTGCAATTCATCTAACTATTTTGTGTTTGCAGCGATAGAGCGCAAGAAGACGTATTTATATGAAATGCAAATTCGCCCATGGAACGCTAGGAAAAACAATAGCTTAGCCGCTTATATGGACCTCAATCATACGGTATGTTTTTTTTTCATATAAATATTTACAATTTCTAGAAATACAAGTCTAGGATATGTAGTCATTTCAAATTTATATCATTTAACGATTTCTAGAATAATGGATAGGTTTTCGGATGTCTTTCATCATGAACCATCTGAACTAGGAAACTTAATTGCAAATTCATAGGATACAAAAGCGACGCATTTAAAAAGTTAAAAAAAGGAAATTTTTCCCTTGTGTGTAATGCCGTGTTAAAAATTGAAAACAAAATAATTGTAAAATTCTTTTATTGCTTTTTTTTCAGAAAAAGGGTTTGAAACAGAGGGTCTTGCACCCCATTTATTTTCCCTTCTGCCTTGCCCACGTTTGATTGCCCATTTTCAATGATAACGCCCTTTTTTTTCTTTAAACCCAATTTATATTTAGCTTAAACGGGGAAAATAGACAGTTTTGTTAAACTACACCGCATTTAATTCAGGGAAGAAAATCAACATTAAAACTTTTGAATCCACGAATTGCGGACCCGTTTAATTTCGCATGCACATGTTTTATATTCAACTAAGTTCACGCAGTAAATTGACTAGCTATCTGTCAAACTTACGTTAATTCTCAGAGCGATCAATTTTCGAAAGAACTTTTAGAATTTTTCGGAAAAGACCTCCACGAATTGCGGACCCGTTTAATTTTAATTGGCACTAGTTTGATATTCAATTTAAACTGAGCAATAAACAGACTTTTTTTCATACACATATAAATTCTCAGAGCCATCAACATTCGGAAGAACTTTTAAAGAAAAAATCGCAAACTACCCCCATCAATTGCAGACCTATTTATTTTGCATCAAAGGATCGATCTTTCGATAAGACATCCACTTAGAAACACAGTAGTATGAATCCTAATCTCAAAAGTTTATATTTATGTTATACAAAAATTTTGATATTCCAACAGTAAAATTGTTTAGTAAAATTTTTTTAAATCCATTGCAGGACCCTATTTTTTTGTTTATAGGGGAGGGGGGGGAAAATTTTTTGGGTAAAAAAGAAATTTTAATCGTATATGCTAGCAAAGTGCTTTTCAATTCCCGTTTTTTTTTGGGGTACATTTTTAATTGATATTTTAGTGGGAGTCCCATCATTTAATCGTGTTTTGCAAGTAAATTGTACTCTTTTCATCGTGTGAATCTGGCAAAGTTAGCACTATTTAATTAATCTTGTTCCGCAGGTGTAAAGTGTACAGTACACTATTTAATCGTGTGATGACAGCAAAGTGTTCATATACGGAAGTGTATTTTATTGTTGCTTTTATCAAATGCATCTGTACGTCATTTATGTTTGATGTTTGTTCTCACAAAGAGGTTTCCACATCGAAAATTATATTTGTTGAATTCATATTTTGATTATACTTGTTTTATATATGAGAATCAATATTGTAAAATGTGTGTCTCATGTATTTATGTAATAGTGCTTACTACTAAACAACTAATGTGTAAATAAATATTGAATATTTTATTTTGTATATAAAGGATAATAAAACAATTTGCTTTGTTGTTTTACTCAAGAGAGATATTTAAATGTATTACTCCATTATATTTATTTTTTGTGTTTGTGTGAAAGAGCATATCGAAATATATATAAAATGTTATGATTATAACAAAATGAAAGAAGATGCAAACATTAACACTTTTTTATTAAAATATCTTCAACAATTTTATAAATAAACGAAGTTCAACCAGTTAAAGAAGCTGCGCACTCGTTTTGGTTTGCATAGTCTCCGACACACGAGGAATACGCCATGACATGCGCTATTTCATTTTGCTCGTGAACACCAGTGAGAAGGTATGACATAGGACCACGTGCAAATATTCCTACGTCATCACCACCATGCGTCTCGGTGGTTTTGTAGACGGCCGTCTGCTGTTGGTAATGCTTGTCGGCTGATCAGAAAAGAATGCATTTTCAATTAATAAAAAATTCGAAAAGCTAAAACATATATAACTTTCATGCACATACATATTTGGTATCAACGAGAGCATATATTCGTGTTAACATTCATCAAAGACAGTAATATTTAAAAGTTTACACGTAATTTGATAATAATCAAATTAAGATTGATTTTAATTTTAACAGCATACTCATGATGAAGAAATGAATAATCTAAAGAGACCTTAATTATCATGAAATAATCAAAACGACCTTAATTCACTGCTCATATGGTTTTTAAAATATTAGATATCTACTCTATACATGTAATTCGTTTTTTAATGAATGCAATTACATACATACTACATTGTTTAATGTAACCATGCATGTCCTATTTAATATATTTCGTCCTCATTTAAAGCTCTAATTCGGGACTACGTCCCAACTAAAAAGCAGAACGTTTATCTGATTTGATTCTTATATAATTTAATCCGATCTTTGGCCATAGTCCTTATCTATCTACTGATAGAACCGTAAATATGCTAAGACCTTTGGCCTTTTCATTTAACTCACTTGTGTCAACGTGCGTGATATCCTCTCTATGGCCATGTGTAGAAACATGGAAACCTGGACCATCCCCATATAACAAGGTCGTGTATGGTAATCCGTCTGATGCATGAGTGTTCCCACCAGCTCCATCATCAACCTTGCCTTATTTAAAAAGAAAAAGAAAAACTGAACCGTGTCACGACAAAACCAAAATAATGCGTTTGCGACCCGTATGGATCCGCGCAGTCTGATCAGGATTCGTTATCAGTTTCTCTACTTGTTATATGATTGGAAAGCGAGCAGCATGGATCCTGATCAGACTGCGCGGATGCGCTGGCTGGTCTGGATCCATGCTGGACGCAAACGCATTATGTTGGTTTTGTGACGCGGCTCAACTTATGTGCTTCAGTTAGACGGTAAACAAACTATTGCAAAAATGAGATTTTAGGTATTGTGTGGGTCTGCTAGCAGTGATAACAGGAATATATTGAGATTTCTACTAAAAAACAAAGACAAGGACACAAACAAACGTAAAAGGTTCAGAACTGTTCAAGCAGTTGTAAATAAAATTACGTTTGAATATGACATATTTTGTCGAACAATTACCGATCACTCATTAATGTTAATATTTAATTAACATAAATGCACGAGAGTTATAAAGTTAATGCACACCAAGGATATTGTTGCCTCTTGACGGATAACCGACCATCGTCATGGTATGTGCGTGATCGGCCGTTACAACAATGAGTGTTTCGTTTTCCATTGTCAAACTTGCACCTTTTGCTACAGCGTCTTGGAAAGCCACTGTGTCGTATAATGCCATTTTAGCTCTTCCACCATGATGGCCATGATCAATGTTGCCGCCTCAAAAGAAAATATTACAATTTCATTCAGATTTTAGGTGTCTTAGACATTCGAGCAGCTTGACTTAACATAAAGTGTTATGTTGCATAGTGTTATACAGTAATAATTTCATGAAGACATTAATTATACATTATAAGTCGCATAAAGTGAAAAAGTTGGCACTATATATTAAATATTCATGTCGCCTACCTGAAAAAAAAACAACATTTTTTATACTTCACTATCTTCTTAATTAATACGTATGTAGTGTTGTTTGGTAAAAGAAACTGTAACATTTATTATTTTGGAGAAAATTGGTATATTTTACGTTTCATCCGTGAAAAATGCAATTTAAACAGACAATGACTTTTCGGAGATTTCACTCGTATCATCTCCTTTATCAATAGTCCTAGATATCAGAGAGACAGACTTGTTATAACTTGATAAACAAAGTATTGCTCTTGTAAGAATACCTTCTACAAGAAGGAAGAAGCCTTTTGGGTTCTTGCTAAGTATTTTAATTGCCTTTTCTGTCATCTCGGCAAGTGATGGTTCTCCGGCCACCTCGTGATTGGGATCTTTTCTTTCCAGTTCGTATTGCATATGTGAATATTCAAACAATCCTGAAAAATATCATACAAAAATATCATTTAATCTGATATTTCTGGTGAAATGTTATTTATTGTTTTTGGGATAAATTAACTCTTTCGTTTGCAATGATCGACATTGAAACCAGCAAGAGTCGGTTGCTTTTGTTTCAATTGTATTTATCTTTATATAAATAAATTGTCAATTATTATTTTAAAGATAATGTAAAACACTAGCAGTTTAAAAAGTACGTACTATTAATAATTTCCACAAACATTAATTGTCAGAAACCTATTGTAAACAAATGGTTATGAAAACTAACGATTCAAATAAAATGAGATCAAACCTACTGATTTGAGGTTTAATTAAATGAAAGTGCAAATAGAAAGAAAAATCACATGTGCTTAGGGAAATAGGTGACTGTCACAGTATACACATAAACACGAATTAATTATTACCTAGAATAGAATCTGTGGTTGCAGGATTAATACTGTTAAAATCTGAACTATTCCAGACATATTTGTATGTTCGTCCTAGATTATGTTGACCCTCTTTCCATTCCTGAAATGATCTATTTCGTTAAGAATCTGGAAACAAAGTGATCTCTCGGAAGTATTAATCACAACAAAATTACATGAAAATTGCAGACTCGGTTTGATTGAGTCTGTACATGAGGGAAAATGAATAAGTGCAACATTCCTTACGCCCCCTAGCACCGGCTTGAGAGGTATTCAATTCTTAACACTTAATAGTGCTGGCACCAATGATCCCGAAGGACCTTAACTTCCTAAACACTTTTGTCATTGACTGTGCATTCGATAACTTTGGCATCTGACATATACCAAGAGCGAATATTTTAAGCAAACTTCGCCGACATAATTACAAATTGTAAGATCTTTTTCGATTATGTTAACGCATGCATTATAAATCTTTCTTAATTTCTAAACTTATTTAGACTGCATTCCTCCAGATGAGCCAGAATATTTCAAGAAAACTAAACTTGAGACAATGTACTCAGATTTTAAGAAAAGTAATAAAAATTAAGATTCAATAAAAAATTACATGTTATGTGCGATGAAGGACTCATTTTGCAATATTTACTGCATTTCTAACGCAGCACGTGCTTTTTTTCTGCTTATTTTAACCCATTATTTTGGTGATTGGATGAATTGCAAGTGCTGTTTGCAATTTGTAAACTATTTTCTTTATTCACTTCGCAATATTTTAGTTTTAAATGCATCTTTTTAAATTTTCATGAAAATTAGCATGCTGCTTTCAGATTACTGTTCATATATAGTATACATTTACAATTAACCATTGTTACCGCATTTTATATCTATGATTATTCGTGATCGAGTAGTAGGATACCTTACCTGAATCAAATCCCTGCCGTCCCTGCGTCCGTAATGAGCGTTAGAGCCATGTTCGGGATCAGGTTGATCAAAGCGCCTAAAAAATCGACGTCCTCCTCCCATTATAACCTTAAAAAAAGACAATGTTTAGGATACATGGGATAGCTACCTGCATATTCTACAGTCCTTAAATTATAAAGTGACATGTTATAGGGTTTTTATCGAATTCTGCTTATTCACTTTATTTCATTGGCATGAAATTCTGTGGTTTTGTCAAAAAAGGACATGTTCATGAGTTCGAGGATTGTCTATCAGTGCAAATATAAAAATAATCTTACAGGAAGCAATATTTATAATAAAATATTAGCTCACATAACTCATTTAGGCGTAGCTTATAAGCAATCAATCGTTTATTCAAGGCATTGTCGTCAATCGAATATTTAATTAATACGATTTGGAATGTGTGTATAATTGAGTACTAGTATATTTATACTCGCCGCCGATTGCCCATATGGGCGAGTCCTCCAGAAGAGTATTAGTCACTTTAGATTTTTGGAGGATATCGCAAGATACAAATACAGAAAGATGCCTCCAATTCCAGAAGCTTCTCCTGGTTCTTTAGCGTGCCAAGTGTTAAGCACTCATACACGAGACCTCGATTTAAAGTCTCATCCTAAAGACAGATTAGTAATTTTAGTTGGCCAGCCCGGGAATCGAACCCGCAATGTCGAGATTACAAGTCACGCGCTCTAACCGATTGAGCTATGCAGGCTGGCGAGCGATTTGGAAGATAATCCAAAAAAAAATATATGTACATCTGCTCAAATAGTCAGATGGGGCCAGTGGATACCTTGACATTTGAATTACCTGAACATTTTTGTAGTCATCAATGAGTTGAGAAGCGATATCTTTACACCCTCCGGTTATTCTGCTAGTGTAGTGGTCACCTTCCCAACTTCTGTCTGCTACGTTAGCGTACAAACCTGCTGGGGTGGCGTCAGTGACACGTGTCACCGTCACAAAACCAACAGACTTGCCTGTTAATTATACACAGACACGTGCAAAGTAAAACAATTTGACCGTATCTGTCCGCTTGTGAAAGAAACCGTTATCAAAAATTGAAGACTTAATTTACTTGATTTAACTCTCTCTGTCCAAGTGATAAGAAAGGTGCAAATGATAAGCATGTCTCTTAAAATCGTGACAATCGGAATTTTAACCTTACTATTTCTCTACAAAAGTATTTATCCTTAATTCAGTTTAAAATGAAATGGTGTCAGCTTAATATATTCAAAGGTTGTAGTGCCATTTTTTTATGATATACATTTGTGCATACATGTAGTTGACAAGGCGGTGTGAAACCGAGGACATGTTTAATATGTGGTTTTTTGCTTATATCAATTCAAACACGAACATTTATTTGTATCACAATATTTAAAATATTTGGTATAAACTTAGCACCTGCTGCCATTGACCAATCCAAAATAGACGTAAGCTCGGATCCTTTCTGACTTGCACAGTTTCCACGTCTTGCACCAGCATCTACCCCAATTGTGCCAATGTTTGTCTTCACTCCGCACAAGTAGGCTGTGGCCGAGGAAGCAGAATCCGTCACCTGGCGGTCTTGACAGTATGTCTTCATAAATAGAATAAACGTGCTTAAGATCTGTTCGATTCTGAAGCCAAAATTCGTTACAGATACTGCGAAAAACAGTACTTTGAACGATAGGTATTACAGTGAAAAATCTAATGTTATAGAAGATAGGTTTATGCAAAATTTAATATATGGTACAGCAGAAAAGGTATCTCTTTATGCCAAGCGTGCGTTTCTAACAACTGTCACCTTTATTGATATAGTGGGATTTTTTTATTAAATACAGTACCTTTGAAAGACCTGCAATGGGAAACTCCTCGAAACTTAGCTTCGTTTCTTCACCAGTGTGACCTTGAAGTTGACCTTTGAGAATTCTCGCTGCTGTGATTGTCGGTATACTCATGCCGTCGCCGAGATATAAAATCACATTCTTTGCGACACCTTTATTCAAGGTCATTTTGGCTTTTTTCGTGATTGCATCTTTTGCTTGCGTTCGCCAAAAGGTTGGAGCTATGGAGTAGAATATTTGAATGCATTTCTATGCCATAAAGGATATATTTTGTTTCAACAAGCCTGCAAAGTTCAGTAGCAAATAATATCATGCTTACATGTATAATTTAAATTGAGAAAAAATGCTCTCAGACAGTTAAACATAGCGTTTTATTTCACCAGAATTTACTTTTATCAAATGCATATTTACATTCTCCATTTCCTGTATATGTTTTGGAGTCAAGAACAAATCCATTCACACAAGCAAACAAGACAACCACTTCAAAAAATTCCGTAACTAAAATCATCGTGATGACTTGAAATTACGGCAGAACTAGCACTGATTCTTACCGGAGAAATACTGGCGTTTATCTCAGAGGTGTCAAAGTGTACCATCTCCTTATCACGAGTTTATGCAACACTTGCATATACATGTATAAGTGTATCTTTAACCCATAACCTTCTGAAATTTTGTCATCGACTTTCCCTGTCTAAATTTTGTGTACTGTCCATTCAAATATTATGGATTAAGGGAATTACACACATATATAGAGTCTGGGCATGCATGCTGGTGAACGACCTCTGTATCTTAAAGTGTTCAGTCAAATCTGTTTAGAATTAATTGCTTTTTTTCTCGGCATTTCTTATGTTCATTTGTGTACTTTTGTTATTGTTACGATTTTCACAATTTATATCAAAGTTTTATCCATTTTTCATTTTAAAATCCTAACAATTGACTTAATAGGTTCTTTTTTTTGCGCTATCATATTTGTGAAATAGCAGTGGAGTTGCGACGTTGTGTATGGCATATTAGTGCTGCAAATCAGCCCATTTTACTAGCCTATTTAGAGGGGTAAGTGGTCTATGTCAGCCAACAGCAAGTTTCATATACCAAAATGTTCGTCTGGATCTGTAGTTTATGGAATGGATATTCATTTGGCCCAACCCCGATGCGAAGCTAAGATATCCAAGATGGCGTCAAAGATGGCCGCCAAATCCCTAAATATTCTAGTATATTTACGTTGGCTTATTTCCTTTTTCAGTTTTGTTAAGCAATCGAAATTTTGCATAAAATTTCTTATTTCCAACTTACTCATGCTATAAATTTTGACTTTATTGATTTTTTTTCTAGTTTTCACCGCCCAATTTTAACGAAAGAAGAAAAAATATGTTGCAAACTGGATGTCCTTTTCTGAATATGTGTTACTTATTAGTTTTATTCCTGTTTAAACTGAATAACATTCATGATTTCATTTAATACAGCTTTAAAACTATATCTACACATATTTAGAATTAGTTAGAATAAGCGAACTATGCCATAAATGTGTTTTATTGAATTGAATTCATATACAAAGTGGGTGGGGTATTACGAACGGGGAGTCACTTTTAAATTAAATACTTTTTTTGTTTTATATTATAATCGTGATATTAAAAAGATTAACAATTTTATTTAATTGGTAAGTGATAAGACATCTTACCTTTCATAGAAAATGCCCTGCATGTGTGTCTAAATGTTAAAATATCTCTTTTATTTGTTATATGCACACAATAAGGAACTAATTTACTGACCTGCAATTCGGTATTTGCGTTGACCTTGTGCTAGCCTTTTGTTAAGGATTTGTTTGCAAGTTTGTTTCTCCTTAGCCATAAACATTCATTGCAAGACTTCAAATGTGATTTTTGTTATACTTGTAGGCCACTGTTCAAGACCCATAAGCTAAGCATTTATTAGGAAATAATAATATCTATTTATTAACTTACAGAATTTCTCGGACAAGATTTATCTCCACAACCATTGAGGGGATGCACTTGAAACTAAACATTTCTAAAAATCTTTGAGGTAATTATTGTAGGTTACTTCCCTCTAACATGTTTTTATTTCAAAGAGTTATACTACTTTATGAATAAGAGATTTTCTTTATTATGCAGGCTGTTGATTTTAAATATTCGAGCGTTCTTCTTGTTTTAAGGCATTTGCTTAACATATGATAATCTACAATTGAACCATATTTGGAGTTTTGTCTTTATTGATGACGGATATAATATATACATTAAAATGTAAAATGTAATTTGCTAGAACATTTAAAATGGGTAGGTTATTTAGTTTACAGTAAGATACTTTTCTGCTAGGCTGGATCTGAATTATAAATTAAATATTATATAAATATATTGAGTGAATTGAAAATATATATTATGAGGGCAGTTTATTTAAGCTCAACTATTCGACGATTAAGGACAACTATCCTTGTCGCCAGAGCGTCGGCGTTAAAGTTTGCGTACCATAATCAAAGTCCATTGACATATGGCTTTGAAACTTGCACACTTGTTTACCATCATGCCCTCCACTTGAACACTGGAGGAGGTCTATCAAGCATTTTGACAGAATTATGCCCCTTTTTTCAACTTTGAATTTACGTTACCACCTCAGATAATTTTAAAATTCCATCGATATATCGCTTTGAGACCTTGCACACTTGTTCACCATCATAATCTCAACATGTGTTCAGAGGAGGTCACTGTATCAAGCTTTTTTACAATATTATGTCCCATTTTTTTACTATCAAGCACTGAGAATAGTCGAGCACGCTGTCCTACTGACAGCTCCTGTGTATGATTTTGAGCATTTTGTTTCAAGTTTGTTGTTAACTTCATGCGAGGAATTAAGAAAAGCCTTCAATTGGACGAAAAAAGCAAATCTTTTCCCTGGCGGGTACTTGATAGTAATACTATGTTCTAGGGGGACGTAGAGTAACATGCACTTTTCAGTACCGTCCATGAACAGGCTCAATCAAACCGAGTCTGCAACAGCAGGTTTACAGTGTTATATTAATAGGTCCTTCGGGATGGTGGTGTTTGTGTCGGTAGTTTTCAATCCGGATCACGGCAGTAACCATATTGAATTTACCAGAGCACAGTTCAGCCACCGAATCGTTCCTGGACAGGCTGTCAAGCAGTTTACCAGTACTAGTTGCCCTCACTTTCGCAAGGAGCTGAAACTTCTGTACATAGCAGAGCAGTGGTACAGTGCGAATAACCGTAGAAACTATTTCATAATCCATCACAACGAAAGTGACCTGCCCCGTCCGGGAATCAAACACGGGTTGCCCGATTCACAGTCCAATGCTCTACCTATTGAGCTAACAGGACGACTTGGTCCTTCGGGGTCATTGATTGCAAAACTTTTATAGTTGAGTATTGGATACTACTTAGTCGGTACTAAGAGACGTGAGATATGGTCTCTCATGAACAGACCCCATCAAACTGAATTTGAATTATCAACTTTGCCATGTTTAATTGCTCTCAAAGGATCTTCTCTTTTCCTGATTTTTACAGTCATATTGCCAATGACATGTTAGTTTACTATATATTTACTTTTATATTGTTACTAGAGGGATTTTATGTTAAGTCTCTCTACTATTTCACAACCGGAAGCTATACGTTGCATTAAATAGCACCGCTACCTTGATGATATTCTTAACATAAATAATCAAATTTGATCAAGTGAAATCTTAAATATATCCAAGTGAACGTAAAATGAATAAAACAAACTCTTAATATTCTCAAATTTAAACATTTCTATCATTAACAATAAGATAGTAACTAAAATCTATGATAATTGAGGTTTTTTAAATAACATTGTTAACTGTTCACATGTACTTCATGCAACATCATATTGGGTATAAATATTACTAAGTTAATTAGATTTGCCTGGACCTGCTGTCGTGTGGATGATTCTAATGAACGCATTTTATTTATTACTGGCAAACTTCTTTAACAGGCACAATCTAACCGAGCCTGCAACATTTTCATTTTTGACGTTTTGTACGTTCTTAATTGTTTTAAATTCGTCTTCTGTCTTGGTAAGTGATGTTCTTGTTGCTCTGCCTTCCTTTAAGGCATCGAGTACTTTGGTTATGGTAATTAGGCTGTACCTCAATTGTACATATTTACACGACCATGTATTATTTTATTTATTTCGTCTAATGTAACCATAACAATTGTTAGAATTTTACTTAGCGGGGATTTATTTTATTTACACTATGTCGTCATATAGGAACATATCGATAGTGGTAATTGCAAATTACCATCCACACCCCCTAGCACCGGCTTAAGCAGAATTCTCAAGTTTACATAAACTGGTACACTTAAAGGAAGTGAAGACACGTCCATAGATGTATTCATACGAAAGTGATCATGGTATCTTCAATGTAAAATGTTCGTGCAATTTCACGACATACAACATATTGTCCACAAGAAATAGAGAACAATGGGCGAAACTAAATAAAATGGATTTATAAAACGGGATCAAAGGTCAAAATATAATCTTTAAAAGCAGGTAACATATCCAAAGGGTTATTATACACTATTTATCCAAAGGGTTATTATACACTATTTAAAAAGAAATACTAGAACCACACAACTCGAAAAAGGTCAAATAGAAGGAATTTAAATAACACAAACACAATTATAATGCCAAGCTGAACGATTTTCATATAAACATTATGTTTTATCCGACTACTATGCATGTTTCATGAAACCGAAGGTCAACAGAGTAATGATCTATGTAGATAAAATATCAAACTTTTTAAATGACTGTTTTGTCAATTTAAGAAACTTTAAAAAATAAATTACATTTCATTTGACATAAAAAGGTGTGTAACATATAAATAAATGAACAGAGGTTGTTTTGCATACATTGTACTTTTCAAATCCTTAGGTGAACTTACAACAAAATCATGCTTATTAAATTGGTAACACATTTTTGAACAGATTTTTAGATCTGACAGGATACCTGTAATAGCATCACACTTTGAAAATCACTTTATGTTTATTAACTTACGTAAATATTGTCATTCCATATAATCAGTATAATCGAGGGATCAGAGTTTCTCTAGATTTTTATTCATAGTGGGTGGGGTACGATTTGAACAATAATTCATTAAATAATCAGAAGCAAATTATCATGTGCCTGGTTTATTATGTTAATCAGTTACATGGACTGACTAAAAAAGCTATAATTTGACAGAAACACAAAATTTGGGGAAATAATTGATAGAACAAATAAGTACCAGTTACAACCTTACATTGAAACACTATTTTAATGTACCGCCTCTCATTTTATATGTCTTACTGTATAATTACAAAGAAAGATTTCTTAAGATATGATATGAATGCATTAAAGCATTACTCTCATGAATACATTACAATAGTGGAATAACAAAATAAGTAATAGATATTTCACTGTTTAAGCTAAGACAAGAGTATCATAGCAAAAACCCATATGTTTAGCATTATTTTGCTTATTTACGTATAAAAAAAACAAAAAGCAATCTGTTTTCTCCAAAATAATTAAATCTCTTCGTATAAAACGCTTTAAATGATATCTCCCGTGCAAAAATTTCACTTGAAATACAAAAGTTGAAACAAATATGAGCAAATATTAATATTCTAGAATATTTAGGGATTTGGCGGCCATCTTTGACGCCATCTTGGATTTTTAAGCTACGCATCGGACTTGAACCAAATGAATATTCATTCCGGAAACTACAGACCCAGACGAACAATTTGGTATATAAAACTTGCTGTTGGCTGACATAGACCACTTCGGTGTCATTTTACCCTATGAATTTGCAGCACTATATATCGTATGTACAGATTTTAGAATATGTTGGTGTTTATTGTCAACAACCCAATTGTTCGAGATGCCAGCGTCAGCAACCAAAATACAAATAACCTTTCACATGTTTTATCATTGGTAACAATTAAGGCACAACTGTCACCTTTCAATCAATATTTTGCCAAGGTGCATTTTTTCTTTGGAAAACGGGTAATTTACGCTGCACATATGATTGATTTTGTTATTAGAGCTTGTAAGTCTTGCTTGTATATTCCAAAGAAAGTGTTAAAAACTACAAGAAATTTTATTGTTCGCATCACCAATTTTGCAATATATCGATATCGCGGATAGCTTTATTCTAAATAATAGTGTAACCTTGTTAATTCTGTCTGGTATGATAATTCATTATCTTAAACTTTGCTTGCAACCGGAGTCATCTGTAGAAACACAACGTACGTTCCTGTTGAAAATCAAGTGAAATAAAAATGTATGCCAACATGAATTGTGCGACATTTTAACCTGAGTTTAAAACTCCTTATATATTTATGATGTCAGTGTCATGAATGTACAATGCAATAGAATGAAACAACTTACTGTGGGAAAACGGTAGAGTTGTTGTTTTTTTTCCCTTAAATGAAAACTTGGTTAGAAAGGTTATTTGCATGCCCCGCCCCTTACACACATGGGTAGGTTAACTTGTGTTAGATTCCAGCTCTAGATGAAATTCATTGTACGTACGTATGTATGTATGTTTAATATGAGGGTCCGCACTAAATGTCGACTTCGGACCCCGTCAAGCACTTAAAGGGTTAGTTTTGAAGCACAAAGTGGTAATAATTTACCTCCATGCAAATTCCATGGAGAATTAGCCAAAGATATATATGAATTTTGAGCCAAATGTTGATCACTGTAAGGCGGCTAATGAGAACCTAAATGTATGTAACCTGTAAAAATATATGAAGGAGATACCCCTGAATTAAAAGAGCTGTTGGTGTCAAGCAAAGGGCCTGCCTTTCAAACCATCACTCTAGCTATGTGCTAGAGGCTCACGCACCCTAGCACACTTTCCTCGGCGTCCCTGCCATCCGAGTTTTTCAAACCTCCAGCCGATGCCCTGTGCTTCTCTGCGACGTGCGCGCACCGAGCATTTTATCGATATTGTGTATGGGCATTTGACTCTTTTAATTGTTTGGTCCATTTTGATGCTTTTAATATCATGAAGCCACTTTAAAACCTTTAAGGGAGACTCAATCTGGAAGATGACTGTTAATAAGTAGATCTAAATTTTTTTCTTGATTAAATTTACATGAAATAATACAGAATTTACTTCATTTCTGATGAATCAATTGTGCACAGGTTCTTTAAATACGCGAATACCGTGGCGAAAGGTGTACAGCATCATATCAGTATCATATGTAATCCGATTCGGAATATTAGTCTTTCAAAATAAAATACATTGTAGAATTTTTTTTTAGACTTTGATTAAATCTACTTGAAAAAAATGCCAATTTAGTATGAGAAACGAGTGATGCTAGACCTTCCACTAAGCTTAATTTTTATCCATTACTCTATCCGTTTCTACTATGTACTGTTGAGCTATACGATATTAAACCAGAGACGTTAAAATACTATTTATATGTCTCTGATTAAACCATTCAGTAATTTTCAGTTAAATATATCATTAGGATTTAACATATCGTAATTTCTGTTATCATTTATATTACTACTTTATTCCCTTAAGAAACCCCGAAACAATATGAAACCCGCTAGAAGCCCTTGCGCGCACTTGTTTGGTCATGTGACATATCCGTGTTAGTTCCACGTGACCTCAAGGTTATAAACTAAATATGAAAATACCATTGCAACAACTTTATACAATACAGCAACAAGTATAAAGAATGTTTTCAACAATTAAATATGTAACATGTTTATTTGATTGCTGCAACGACGTTAATATTGAAAATATTGAAAAAATGCCGTAGTTGTCAAGACGCTACACGAATGTCGGCCGCCATTTTGTCTTTCAACTAGTACGTGCCGCATCACGTTTTGGCATGTGATATGATGAAAAATAGTCCGGAGTTAATGTGATTGAAATGCAGAAAAAGATTATTTATTAACTATATTATTTTGGGTAAATAAAAGTGTAAATAGAATTAATATTGTCTGAAGAAAATAGAAATGTATTGGATCGGTTTATAGCATTAAAATTCAAGTTCCGGTTTTGCGAAGCGTATGAATACTAAATTTAGTGACGCGAGAGTCTGGCAACTGTTGCCGTAGGAATAAACGCCATAGACACGGTAGCTGTGACGACTGTTACCCACCAACGTTAAAGGTGATTTTTCTTTCATTTTATATGTAGTATCACGTATCTTGTCAGCAGCATCTCTGTAAATAATGTATCAATATGTATTTTTCAGTATTTTCCTCAAAATAAAGGTCTTTTTAATCGGCCATAATCCGTCATGTTTGTTGACAGGAAAATGGCGAGGTCTTTGCTTGCAGTCTAAATTTTTTGGTAAAATAAAGGAATTTGGCGGTAGTTTTGAAATTCTATATGATGGAGTAAGAAAGAGCCAGTGGCTTGTGATATCATGGAAACAATGTGTTAGTAATTTAACTGTTTACTTTTTCTATTGATGAGAAGGATTTTTTGTTGAAATTGGGGCATTCAAAATGGTTGCTCAAAGCGTCCAAATACCATGGATGCGTAGACGCTACCACGGGGAAAGTCGGGTTGCTAAGAGATGTTAAAGATGAGCTAGATAATGTTGATAGGCAGCATTTTGAATGTTAAATTTAATACTCTTATCAGTTTAGATGCTATTTTACTGAAAAATTGGTGTTTGAGAGATATTTAAGTTAAAGTTGGTTATTCTATTTTTAGATTTTTTTGGACATGAATTGACATGTGAGAAAAAAACATTATTTTCAAAAGATTTTTTAAAAAATTAAATAAATGAATTGCTGTGATATACTATGACATAGATAAAAAAGGGTAGATTGGTTACTTTTGATGATTGTAAAATTTAAATTAGACATAATTTTTTTATTGAAACTTTTGAGTTACTTTGAAAGGATGACAAAGTACCCCTTTCTTGAGCTTTAATAAGGTGAGATGATTGAAGCGTAAAAATGCAATTTTAGTTTCAGTTCCATTTTCAAATACCTTCAATATATTTTTGTAGGATGTATATTATTGTTTTTTTAGATGTATTGCAATATTTACAATTGTATGTACTGCATTTTAATGATAAAATTTCCTTAAATAAATGTTAAAATTACAGATAACATCACATGGCTATGAAGATCATACCATTTGTACTTAGCTTAATATTTTGAGGTTGCACCAAAATTCAAGAAACTCTTCACCAGACCTTTTGGTAACTGAGCAATACAACAAATGTGTATAGAATATCAACCAAATTAAACCAATGTATAAGGAGAAGATTTTAATATCCAGAATATGATATTTAGTTTAAAAAATGCATGGTAACTTATTCAAAGTTGATACTTTGACATAATTTCTTGTACAAATTATTTGTATTGTTTACATTTTTTTGCATTCTTTGGGAAACTTATCTCACCAAATTGGAAAGAGGCCTAAGCCTCTTGTTTATGGGGAAAATTTTTACAATTGCTTATTTTGGAAGTTAAAAAGCTGGTGTATGTTTAGATTTTTGGGAAAACTGTATGGTTTTAATGGAAAGTGATGCCTTTGAGAGGCCTCTGTTATATAAGGAGAAAAATCATAGTCACAGGGTAGAAAATTAATTGTGAAGTCAAAGATGAATTAAAAATTAGTAGGATTATACTACTGTTTCTAACTTTACAACCTGGTTTCCTAGCAGTTTCCAGTCCGAAATCACACCTTTTAACAAATAAGATAAACATCTGTCTACCTACTAGTACAAAACTTTGATAGAACAAAGTTAGGTGTACCTGGCCAGCACAACTGTGCATTTACTTCACTTTTAATTGGAATATAGGCCTGAATGTAACACTTTTTCTCACTTTTCATTAAAAATTTCATAGCAGATTTTTGGCCCTTTTTTATTTTGAATATTATTTAGTACCAGCAAGGAATGCTAAGATGATTTTACTTCCCAACCCTTTCTTCGTCTGCAAATATTATATATATTTTTCAAAAGTATTGATTTACCTGGAATTGGGTCTCAGTTATTGGACATTCAAACTAGAATTCCCCAGGTGTTGCCTATTTTTAAATGTCACAAGTTCTCTAAGGTAACTGTGGACAACAGCCAAAAGTCCAAAACATATAAATCGCTGTGTTGCATAGAAAACAAATGTATCTCTGGTTCGATGAAGTAACATAGATGCCCTACTGGACAAAATGGAATGACTGGATGAAAATGATAAAGGGCCGGAAACTGCTAGGACACCAGTAACTTGTATATTTAAAAACCAATATTTTGCATCTTTGTTTTAAAATTGGTGAGAGGCAGTGTAATGTGCATATAATTTTGACAACTTTTTCTTACAATTCTGTTATACTTGCATACTCTGCTTGCACAATGGTTTTATTTTTTTTTTTGGGGGGGGGGGGGGTGGTAAAGGAGTGGATGAGCTGAGGTTTTTTGTCCTGATGGGATTTGAAATAATTTTTTCAAGATTTATTTACCATTTAATTTAGGTCTCACCATCTGGACCATTCATTCAAGGGCCTAACTTACTGCTTACCGTAATATCTGAGTCTCCCAGATTGCTGTGTTTTGTACATGTGATGCTAATTTAAGAATGTATTATTTTTTTTTGTAATACTTTTTATAATGAAATAAACTTGCATTGACTAAAGTGCATAGTTTTTTTTTGATGTTTTGTAAACAAGTTCAATTTAAGCTGAAAGTGGAACCCTGTTTTTAAAATTTGATTTCAATTCTATTTGAAAATCACTTTTCTGTCGTTCCCTGATGCTGAAAAAAATTCTTTCCATACATTTCATAAAAAATCTGGTTATCAGTCTTTGAAAAAAATTGTTACAACATGATGGTCATGTTCTCCTGTATAATTTCCTAAATGATGAAGCAGTTTATAGCAGGATTGATTTCTAGGCATAAACTTCAATATTTGTTCAAAGTATATTGATTTTACTGTGGAAACCTTGCCTTATGTTAGAAGTACATCATAGAGATAAATTATAATTTTATACATATCAAAAGAGATGTAACACAAGGCTTAATATTGACTTTGTAAGTTTTCAAGACATACTCAGTGTCTATTCTAGGACGCGCGATTGCGCGATTCACGCTAGTATTTAACAGATCGCGCACAATTCAAAATCATGTGCGTGAAAATTGCGCATCTATAAAAAAAGTTGATAAAACCGTAAAACTTCCATCCCGCATTATATTTGGTTGTTTTGTTTACATTTTACATAACCGAAACCGAAAGGGAGGTTACTGTAAGCTAATTATAATAATTTAGTACCGTATGGTACTGGTTACGTGAGTTGACGGAAATTAACGGAATGTTCCGTATCGACCAGGAACTAGTGTGCTAGGTCTGACAGTTGGGCGCCATTTTTAGTGTAGTAAATAATCAAGAAAAATGAGGCAATTCCTAGCTTGGCTACGATCTAGACGCTGAAAGATAGTTCCATTATTTGTATTTGCCAATCCCTTATAATCAATCGCGGCAGTTCTGTAATAATACTGTTTTCGTTTAAAAATTAAGGGGGGACAACTTTCTTGCTGCCTTAAATAAATATTATCGTTTTAAATATTTCATCGCGTTGAAACGCCTCAGTGTAAACTTAATGCAGACGATTTAACACTGGCAGTTTATAATTGGCACCCTTTGATTTTAAAATCGCCCCTTTTTTTGAAATAGAGGGGGGAAAATCACCCCTATTTTTCAATTCCTAGAATAGACACTGCATACTTCAAAGAGATTGCATTAAAATTTGTAGAAGTAACTTTAATAAGCCAGTGTTTTTTTTGGTCGAAATATTCGGCGATATTCGGCCCCTTTCCCCACCTCTCGGAATATATATTTTTCCCCATGAAATTGCGAAAATTCCCCACTGTCAAAAAAATAAACCCAAACAAGAATCAAACTGAACTGAAGTCACTCAGTTAATAAAGTTGTTAACTAATTTCAATTAGTTATTTTATTTATTTTAAAGGATTGTTAAAAAATCATGTATTTTTAGTCTTTTTATTGAATATTAATAACACTGAAAATTCCCCTTTTTTGGCATTTACGCGCTATTTTTCCCCACCCAATGGGCACTGACCCCCTTCCCCCAAAACTGAAAAAAAACACTGTAAGCACTGTTTGCAGTTAGTCTCTCATGTACTTATTTGAATTATACTGAATTGTTACCGTATTAAATATAATTTGCTCAGGTTTTTATTAAAAATACATAGTGACAGTCTAATCCACTATATTATGTATAACAAGAGTGCTGCTTTAGTCTTTTAAGTCCCTGCCATTGATGCCCATTTCCCTACTATTTTCTGTTCCTTATATATAATTTATAGCAAGATATCGGTTACAGCGTATATTATAGATTTATATTTGTTGCTAAATGTGCAATTTTCTGGGGACTTTTAGTTTTGTTTGCAGTGATTTTTCTCACTTAGGCCTTAGCCTCTTAATTTTGGGAAATTGGGCCATAGCCTCTTAATTTTGGGAAATTAGGCCGTAGCCTCTCAAATTTGGGAAATATTGCTGATTTGGGAAGTAAAAAAGCTGGTTTTGGGAAAACAGCATGATTTTGAAGAGGCCTTGGAAAGAGACCTTTTTTCGGAGTCTGTTATATAAGTAGGAAAATCACTGTTGTTTACAAATCAATTTACAAAAAAATACAAAAGAAATAAATCTGAATCATGACGATGTCACAAAGTAACTTAGTAAGCAAGTCTTATCCTACTGTAAGAGAGAAAAATGTATTAAGATCAAGAGATGGAAATAACTTTTTTCAGACAAACAATGTTTATTATGTTATTGTATTAAATGAAACAATGAACAGAACATTATAAGTTATTCAGAAATTTGAAATAAAAGACCATTAGTTTGAATGACCCTTTGCATTTTCATACACAGGGTCACAAATGATGCCAAAAACTTATTCTGGCAGAAACACAGAATTATGTTCATAAAAATGAAACTTTTTTTATATTTCAGTTGACTCAGAAGAAGAACTAGATGACATTGACTTGATGGCCACACAGACTTTTGTCACTGACCTACAAGCAATGAATCCTACAGTTGTACAAGTTCATCAGGTGAACCAGGTACTTTATCAATAGATGTTCATAAAATTATTCTTTTCTTTGTTCTTAACATTACATTCTGTTCATATAATTATGTATATCAAGCTTCTCTTATATAATAATCATTATTGAAAGCAGTCCCCTGCAGAGTACAGCTCTTGTTTATAATGTTACTTGATGATTGTTGTTACTATTCATATTTCTTAGCTTAAAAAAGCTTAATAGTATTTAATTGTTTTCCTATGTTTTGTAAGAAATTACAATGGACTTTCTTTCAGAATTCCAAATCGCCAGTTTCATCCCAGTCAAATCAAGTACAGAAGACGGCGACTATCATTCAGCCTGCTCAGGCCCACACAGGCCAGCAGCAGTTTATTGTTACAAGTAAGAGAGTTGACACATTTCAATTTTCTTAAAGGCAATTCAGTTTTCTGAAATATTCTTTATTTACCTTTGCTTGAAAGGTAAAACCACTTTTGATTAGTACATTTCAAGTCCTAGATACATTAAAAACTAGCCTATGTAGCACTTGAAAAACAGGATGACAGGTCTTTGGATACACATAATTATATAGCATTTTTAAATTGAAATTTCTAGAATTAAAATTAAACGGTTCTAAATTCAAACAGGCTAGTTTATTCTTTTAAATAGAGTATGTTTTAAATTTAAAAAAAAAAGAATTTAAGATAAATATGCATGAAGTTTGGCATTATCTTCATGTCTTAATTATTTGATATTTGAAATTTCGAAACTGGTAGATTGTATATGAAATATTGAACATCTTTTCTCCGTGTTAACAACTAGTTTCTTATATTTATATTTTCAGCCAGTTTATTTTGATATTCATTACATATTTTTAATTTAGTACGAAATATTTCATTGCTGTAAAATCTAAAACTAGTCGTGTTATGCATGTCTGCGAAGGATTTTTATGATGTGTTTGAGGAAATTAAGAGTCTATGTTTCAGACAAAAAACAATTACTAACATCTAGTTTATTGTCATTTATATATCAAAGATAGGAAATTAGACTTGCCGTTTAAGCTTTAAGCCAGATGAATTTCAGAAAATGAGACACGGGTCTCTATAAAGTAGGGGTGTAACAATACGGCAAAAACCGTATTGCAATATATTGCCATTTTGCTGAAGCGTATTGCAATATATTGCAATACGTATTGTCGTGTATATGTTTTGATGTAAAGATGGAGTAACATTATATATTATTATCATATGTATATATTTTTAGTAGAAACTTAATAAAAATGTTAGGAATAAATAGAAAGTAAGGTGTCACACAATTTGATAAACAAAACTAGTCACGTGTGACCTTACACATCTGGGCCGCTTATGAAAATTATGCGGCCGCTTATTGATTTTTAAGTGTACTAGTTGTCGGATACTTTTACCTTACATTGGTGCCAATAAAATTCGCCAATTAAAGATTTTATGGGAAATTTGTACAAAATTAGAAGGCAATTAATTGAAAATTATGATTTTTATAAAATACCGGTTTTCCAAAAATCGTACCGCGGTACGAAATCTATTTTTTCATATTGCAATATATTGGTATACCGGTAAACCGTTACACCCTTACTATAAAGACATCTTAAATTGAAATTTGAGAAATACATATTTAATGATGGTAGAATTTGAGTTTTAAGACTTTTTCATAAAAATAGTCTATAGTTCTTTAAGCATCTTAAATTATAAGCAATCTAGCAAATGATTTGTTCCTTAATGTCAGTTATATTTGAATATTGGACTATCTGGATCTTACTTACTAAATGTGTATTTCAGCATCTGTAGCGGAGGCCCTTACAGAGCAGAATCAGAGCAACCAGGAGAATATTGCCATCCACCAAGGAGGCCAAGCGCTCTATCCAGCACATGTTCAGTATGTAGAAGGCAATGATCCCAGTATCTACGCATCTACAAACGGTCAAATGTATGAACTAACATGTTCTAGACGTGATGGTGCTAAGTTTGCCATTGTGGTGCTGTCAGTCTAAGCATGGCTTCTATTCGTTTGTGCCCCACCCACTTAAAATGCACTCAAAAATATCAAGAATGTTTTTTTCATTAATATTTTGGAGTGTTTTTTTACCCTCTTTTGATATAGTATAAACTCACTAACACTTGAGCACATTTAATAAATCAGTAAAGTGAAATTAATTGTGTAGCAAGACTGACCTGAATTAAATTGAAAATAAAGTATTTTTCTTATAGATAAACTGTGATGGTAATTCTGCCTGCAGCCTTTCAGATAAGTTATATAGAGATATTATTATGAAAAGGAACTTGAACCAAAGTTTAAAAGTTGCTGTATTATTTTCCAATTTCATTTCTTGAAAAAATCATAGTAGATTTCTGACAGAACTTTAAACTTTGCATCTTGAATATGGTGATACACTCTTTATATGTTAACAATTTCATTTCATCAATGTTCTACACTCTTTATATTTAACAATTTCATTTCATCAATGTTCAAGTCAACAGTTGTCTCAATGCAGGTTTGTTTTGCTACACATCTAATGAATGTTCACTTAAACTAAAAATTGGGGATTGGAATTGAGTCTTAAAAACCAGTTTGACTGTTTGTAAGCTACAAATTCTTTATTAATGTCACTTATGGTTAAATTAATCTGATATGATTGATTATTACTGGTATATCAAAAATATGATTGTATATACAATAAAAAAAACTGCTGATTAAAGAAGCTACAAGATATATTCTTCATGCTTGCAGGGCCCTCGATCCAATTTGGGAGAAGTGGTTCGGTACCCTTAGCAGTGGGGAATTTATGGGGGATTTTTAGCTCACCTGTCACAAAGTGACAGGGTGAGCTTTTGTGATCGCTTTTCGTCCGGCGTCCGTCCGTAAACTTTTACTTTAAATGACATCTCCTCATAAACCACTAAGCCAATTTCATCCAAACTTCACAGGAATGTTCCTTTGGTGGTCACCTTTAAAAATTGTTCAAAGAATTTAATTCCATGCAGAACTCTGGTTGCCATGGCAACCGATAGAAAAAACTTTAAATATCTTCTTTTAAAAAACCGTAAGAGCTAGAGCTTAGATATTTGGCATGAAACATCTTCTAGTGAGTGTCTACCAAGTTTGTTCAAATAAAAGCCCTGGGGTCAAAATTGGCCCCGCCCCGGGGGGTCATTGATTTTCCCTATATACATATAGTAAAAACTTAAAAAATCTTCTTTTAAAGAACCAAAAGAGCGACAGCTAAGATATTTAGCATGAAACATGTTCTAATGGGTGTCTACCAAGTTTGTTCAAATAAAAGCCCTGGGGTCAAAATTGGCCCCGCCCCGGGGGGTCATTGATTTTCCCTATATGCATATAGTAAAAACTTAAAAAATCTTCTTTTAAAGAACCAAAAGAGTAAAAGCTAAGATATTTAGCATGAAACATGTTCTAATAAATGTCTACCAAGTTTGTTCAAATAAAAGCCCTTGGGTCAAAATTGGCCCCGCCCCGGGGGGTCATTGATTTTCCCTATATACATATAGTAAAAACGTAAAAAATCTTCTTTTAAAAAACCATAAGAGCTAGAGCTTAGATATTTGGCATGAAACATCTTCTAGTGAGTGTCTACCAAGTTTGTTCAAATAAAAGCCCTGGGGTCAAAATTAGCCCCGCCCCGGGGGATCATTGATTTTCCCTATATACATATAGTAAAAACTTAAAAAATCTTCTTTTAAAGAACCAAAAGAGCTACAGCTAAGATATTTAGCATGAAACATTTTCTAATGGGTGTCTACCAAGTTTGTTCAAATAAAAGCCCTGGGGTCAAAATTGGCCCCGCCCCGGGGGGTCATTAATTTTCCCTATATGCATATAGTAAAAACTTAAAAAATCTTCTTTTAAAGAACTCAAAGAGCTATGGCTAAGATATTTAGCATCAAACATGTTCTAATAAGTGTTTACCAAGTTTGTTCAAATAAAAGCCCTGGGGTCAAAATTGGCCCCGCCCCAGGGGGGTCATTGATTTTTCCTATATGCACATAGTAAAAACTTAAAAAATCTTCTTTTAAAGAACCAAAAGAGCTAGAGCTAAGATTTTTAGCATGAAACATGTTCTAATAAGTGTCTACCAAGTTTGTTCAAATAAAAGTCCTGGGGTTAAAATTGGCCTCGCCCCGGGCGGTCAATTGATTTTCCCTATATACATATAGTAAAAACTTAAGAAATCTTCTTTTAAAGAACCAAAAGAGCTAGAGCTAAGATATTTAGCATGAAATATGTTGTAATAGGTGTCTACCAAGTTTGTTCAAATAAAAGCCCTGGGGTCAAAATTGGCCCCGCCCCGGGGGGTCATTGATTTTCCCTATATGCATATAGTAAAAACTTAAAAAATCTTCTTTTAAAGAACCAAAAGAGCTAGAGCTAAGATATTTAGCATGAAATATGTTCTAATGGGTGTCTACCAAGTTTGTTCAAATAAAAGCCCTGGGATCAAAATTGGCCCCGCCCCGGGGGGTCATTGATTTTCCCTATATGCATGTAGTAAAAACTTAAAAAATCATCTTTTAAAGAACTCAAAGGGCTATGGCTAAGATATTGAGCATCAAACATGTTCTAATAAGTGTCTACCAAGTTTGTTCAAATAAAAGCCCTGGGGTCAAAATTGGCCCCACCCCAGGGGGTCATTGATTTTTCCTATATGCATATAGTAAAAACTTAAAAAATCTTCTTTTAAAGAACCAAAAGAGTTAAAGCTAAGATATTTAGCGTGAAACATGTTCTAATAAGTGTCTACCAAGTTTGTTCAAATAAAAGCCCTGGGGTCAAAATTGGCCCCGCCCCGGGCAGACCTGGGGTAATCATTAATTGTAATCATTGATTTTGTAATTGATTACATGATTACACTGTAATCATCATGTAATTGATTACATTGCCCAACATTGATTATATTAATTGTTATTAATCAATTACAGCTTAAATTCAGACAGTAATTATGATTACATTTTGATTGACATTGATTACTTTCAGATTTAACAGAAAACTATTTAAATTCAAAGGATGCCTTTATTTTACATGATACAGTTTAATTTTTGTTTTACATTTATACTGTAAAAATCCTCAATTAAGACCACTATTCAGACTGAAACAAAGTGAATAGTCTAATCATTGCTTACATACTTTAAGACCATAGTCTACTTTAGTCATTTTGTATGAATAAACAATATGTATATTAACATTTAACTACAAATACATTATAAAAGACACTATCAAACAATGCTTTGATATTTAATCTGATTAAAAGAAAACATATTTCTGAAGAAATTTAACTTTAATTTTACAGTATCACTTATTATATGATGTACATAAATCAAATAAAAATTTAATTTTTCAAAAAATAAATATGCTGAATGCAACAATGTACAACTCTAAAATGGACCTTCTCACCTAATTTCATACAATAACAGTTTTTCACACCTTTTATATGAAGATCATAGCAACAAATTTAAGATCATGATAGGTGTTGACTTAATTTAAGTGTCTCATTAGTCACATTAAAATTGAAACAAAAAATTGGACTGAATATGGTGGTCTTAGAAGTGAATAAGCAGGTGGTTAAATCTGGATCATGAAACCATAGGCATAAAGAACCTTTTTAAAAATGGTCCTAAATGCGGGGGTGGTCTTAATTTTGGGTACATTCAATGTAATCAATTATCAATCAATTACTCTCTTAAAGTAATTGTAATTCAATTGATTACAGAGGCAAGTGTGAGTAATCAATCTTAATCAATTACTATGAAATCTGAAAGTAATTGTAATTTAATCAATTACTGATCAATGTAATCATCCCCAGGTCTGGCCCCGGGGGCAGGGCCAAAACACCATTTTTGGGGAAGGGGCCTCAGCCTTTTTCTTGGGGAAAATATGCGTGATTTTGGCATACTTTGGGAAAAGGGGTCTCAAGTTTAACACAAACTTTTAACAAGTTCTTCAAAGTAGAAAAGCAAAAAGCACTGGGAAATACTAATAAGGCAGTAAAAGACCTTAATTCAACACCATCATTTAATTTTGTTCTAAATTCTATGGGAAATTTCAAAAGACTGGGGAATTTTGAGAACCAAACTGGGGAAAAAAAGAGGCTAGTTTGGTTGGGGAAGCAGCCTATATTAGGCCCCTACAAAGAAGGGTTTTTTGGCCGTGGGGGATCATTGATTTTCCCTATATGCATATAGTAAAAACTTAAAAAATCTTCTTTTAAAGAACTCAAAGAGCTATGGCTAAGATATTTAGCATCAAACATGTTTTAATAGGTGTCTACCAAGTTTGTTCAAATAAAAGCCCTGGGGTCAAAATTGGCACCGCCCCGGGGGTCATTGATTTTCCTTATATGTGTATAGCAAAAACTTAAAAAATCTTCTTTGAAAAAACCCAAATAGCTAGAATTAAGATATTAAGCATGAAACATCTTTTAGTGAGTGTCTACAAAGTTTGTTCAAATAAAAGACCTGGGGTCAAAATTGGCCCCGCCCCGGGGGTCATTGATTTTCTTTATATGTGTATAGCAAAAACTTAAAAATCTTCTTTTAAAGAACCAAAAGAGCTAGAGCTAAGATATTTAGCATGAAACATCTTCTAGTAAGTGTCTACAAAGTTTGTTCAAATAAAAGCCCTGGGGTCAAAACTGGTCCGGCCCCAGGGGTGTCATTGTTTTTAACTATATGTGTATAGTAAAAACTTTAAAAAAATCTTCTTTCAAAAAGCCCAATGAGCTGGAGCTTAGTTGTTTAGCATGAAACATCTTCTTATGGGTGTCTACCGAGTTTGTGCAAATAAAAGCCCTTGGGTTAAATTGGCCCTGCAACGTTGGGTTGGGGGGGGGGGCCTATATACAGGTGAGCGACCTCAGGGCCATCATGGCCCTCTTGTTTATTTCCTTTTTGTTCAAGTATCAATAAACTACCACCATCACTATCAGTACGGCTTGCATTTTTTTTTATGAGACATTTTGATGACGCAAGTCTTTCCAGTCCATCCATACAAATACTGAACCATGTGAAACTGGAAACAGTGAAGATATACAATATTTTGCTGGCAAAAATACTGCGAAACAGATCAATTTTACTTGTCAAAAACAGCCTAACTTTTCATTTTTCCCATTGGATTTTATATATGTTTTGAGGGAGATTTTTTACCTCTGATGGGGAATAAACATACTATTTTGGTCGGGACTATCGGCTGCAGATTTGTAGATCGAGGGCCCTGGCTTGGTGTTATTCTGAAAATTATAAAGATAGAAATCTATGCTATTTAAAAATACTTTAGTCAGCAGTTCCTTTCTATTGTTTTAATATTTTTTTACTGTTTTATAATTTACCTATTTTCTGTAACTTAGACATTGATTTTAAATGTTGTGTGCATGCAAAAATTTTGTTCTTGTGACAAAAGTGAAATTGCCTGAGATTATTGATACAAAGTTCCTTGGTCGGTCTTCTCTCATAACAGTCAGTTATAAAGCTGGTTTTGTAACTTTTGAATGAGCAGTTGACATAAGTTCTGCATGACTTCTTACACTAACTCAAAATATGACTGGATCTACTCTCTCTCACAAAAAATTGCATGTTTAAGCAAGTGTAAGGCATGTTTTACATTAATGTTGCATAGCACCGAGTTTGTTTATACAAAGATAGAAAATAAAACAACTTATATTTATGTTGTCTATGCTTGGAATTGACTTATTGGCTTTCTTTTTACGCTGAATATTCATAAGGCATTTGGTTGTTTATGTTAAAAAAATTTTGTTATTGTTATAACACGCTGGTCTCCTTATTTTTGTGTTTGTATTGTTAGTCCAATTGGTAATTGTTATTGAATATTGTGTTGTAACTAACTCTTTGATTTGTTCTAATTAATCTTGAATTTTGCATGACTTCATGTTTCTGTTTTCTGAATTTATTTATGATTGTTTCAAACGTAATATCGGAATTAAACATAATTTAACAAGTTTTTCCATTAATAATTTTGGTTTGATTATCAAATGAGAAGTAGCAATAAAGAAAGTATCTCCACCATATCAGAAACGTATGTAGTTTGTAAGGTTGTTTTTTTTCTACACAGGCACTATTTTCAAGTGCTTATTAACAATTGATGATTATCTATAATCAAAGAATGAAAACATTTTTAGCATTGTTTGTTATGGCCATAGACAAATGTCAAACATTTTTGCCTATCTGCTAATACAAGTCAACTCAAGTCAAAAGGGAAAGTAAAAATATGGCTAAAAGTTTTTCACAGTTTGATGTTTGAAAATGATTTAACAGAGAAAATGTGATGCTCTGTAACTGAAAATATGGAAGGAAATTGTCTTTATTAAAGGGACTCCACTGAGGGTTTTTGACATGATGGGATTGAACATCTTTTTGTCCAGATAAATGTACCATTTGATGTAGGTACGTTAGACCTCTAATCCTGGTGCAAAATTGTAGATCATTTCGTTTTTCCAGAATAATTATTCAAATTGTAAAAACTGACCCAAAATGAAAAGCGTTTAAACGCTTTTCACTTAAATTGGACTAAGAAAAGCATAAAAATACGATTTTCAATTTATTTCTTAACTATCTTCGCATATATTTCTGTTTAAAGTGCCCCAGCTCATTTATGTAAGAAATTCAAATGTTTTGTTTTTTGGCTTTTAAACCTCAGTGGAGTCCCTTTAATAATCAGCAGTATACAAATGTATTTTGATAAGATTATTTACTTCCCTTAAGTTTCTTATTGTTATATACTAGGTTTGATTGTTATTTTGTTTGAGTTGTTATTAGTTTTAAGTAAGGCTTTCATTGACATTTTTATTTGAGTTGAATTTAAGTTGTATCATACTGGTTTAAAATTTTAAGTTTTGCGTATTTTGTTTTTAGTTGCTATGATAGCATGTTTTAGTATACGCCTTTTCTGTTGATTTAACAGGGTCCGCTGGAATAACGAAGGGTAAATTTTTGTTGTGATTGTGTTGTGTTAGTTAATTTCTGAATAACATGATAAATATTTTCGATACATGCACACAATTTGTGTTTGGAACATTAGGGAACTGGAAAGAAAAATGAGATTTAGTTATAAAAGTGACAGATCCAATTTATCACACATGAATGTTGGATGTCACCTTTATGCATCAGCCATGTTTTGATATTTCTTACTTTAACCTTGGTCATATTTTGAAGTTAAAAATACAAAATTGAAAGAAAAAAAGATTGTAACTATTAAGTACTGCATACAAGGCACCTTACGTAAGAGTTTGTTCAAAAATCTATGTTGTTTTGTGTGAGTTTTGTTGCTTTTCATTACAATTCAATGCTAGTTGAAAATGTTTTGTTTTGAACTATTTTCCTTTGACCAAAGATCCTTTGACAAAACTGTTTTCTTAGTTTGTGTATAATATATAGAATATATTCAGTTTCTGATTTTTGCAAATTAACTGAGAGTATTTTGTGTGACTGTGGTTTTGAGTTAGCACATACCTAATTTTGATCTATCCTGGTGTAGGCAGTGACAATGAAAGTAGAAGTATGTTTTGATTTATGTGTTGGTTGACTTGTGTAGTGCTTGTAATTCCATATTCTTTAAGTAAATTTAGTTTCAGCATTATTATTTTCTGCCATAATATTATCTATGCAAACAAAATAATTATCAAAGGAGTAGGCTGATGTTGGTATTTTTGTTTATTTCAGACAACAATACAGCGGAGATTATGGACAAACTACAGTATATAACACATCTTCTGGCACCTACTACCAGACCAGTAGTGGACAGGTATGTTATAATTGTTCTGCCTTTCTTGCCTTGTGTCTCTGTTCTCTATGTCAGAGTGACAATGATCATTGCAATTTGTATCAGTATGTATTCCGGGTATTGATTATGTTGATTCCTATTTTGAATTGAACTTGGTAATTTTTTTTTGGTGGGGGGGTTACGTCACATCAACACAGTATAGGTCATATCACAACGTTCCAGCTTTTACTGGTGGTAAAAAACCTCCGGTGCCCTTCTGTGCATTATTTCAGGCAGGAATGGGCACCTGAGTAGAACCACCGTTGTTCCGTAAGCTAGCTGGATAGCTTCCTCACATGAAAGAATCCTAAGTCCCTGTTGGGATTCGAACCCACAGCAGTGAGGGGCAAGTGGTTTGAAGTCAACGGCCTTAACCACTCTGCCACGGACACCCGGATCTTGGTAAAAGACATGCTACAAAATCAGCATAAAAAAACCCCCAGAAAAACAAACTTAAGATTTCTGTTCCTTGTATGCTTTTGGTCTCTGAAAAGATGCTTTAAACATTATAAATATTTTATGCCCTGTCTAGAAGTAATAGATTTTAGCATTGTAACTGAGATACACAGACATTGATTTCTGTACATTTTGTTATGGACATTAAAATCAATTATGATTTATACATTGTTACCATCTGTAGTGTTCTATTATTATCCAACAGGTGACCACTGGCCTTCCAAACATGGGAACTGCCATTCAGACAATGCAGGGCCATATATTAACACAGCAGGGTGGTAACACCTATCTCATACAAGGTGGTACAATGGACGGTAGGGGAACCATTAAAACATAAAACCAGGGGATCACCTGCTAGGGATTTTTTTTCTTAAAATTAAGGGATCTTTTCTCTATGAAAATAATTTGGGATGATGTTCTTTATAAAAATTTGGGGTTGTCACTTTTTATTTGACCATAATTTATTTTCTTTTGTTTTAAAATTTCCAAAAAATTTGTTAAGTTGAAAAAACCCTTTTCAAAGGTTGGGTTTTAAAACAGTATTTAAAAAATTTTCTTCTTTTGTAAATTAATATTAGTTTCTTAAAATCTGAATGTGAAAGAAAGTCTCACAAAAATACTTTGATAGTGATTGATCAAAAAATTTTTCAAATTTACTAGCAACCAAATTGTGAATTTCCCTTTTCTTTTGGCACTTTTTATATATAGGCAAAGTTTTTTGGCCCAAAAAGGGGACATTACAATACTTGTTTCAGTTTTTTCTGGAGCAGTGTGTTATTTGAAGTCAAAAAGGTAAAGGGCATTTTTTAAAGGGGTTTTTTAAAAAGTTTACTGTTTTAAAGAAAAAAAGGGCTTTTTGGAGGGTAAAAACCCTGACACTTCCCTTTTATAAACTGACATTTAAATTCTATAGTGGGCATGCTGTAATTGTTTCCCCCCCTTTTTTCTTAGTTGCTTTTTATTTTAGTAAATTAACTTTGAATATTTTAAATTTGCTTAGATAAAATTGGGGTTTATTTTTACTTTAAAAATATTATTTTTTTTAACTATACTCAATTTGTTTGGGTTTGTTTTTCCTTTCCTCTTTAAGTTTTGTCATTTCCATTTGTGATATAAAATAAGATTGAATTGAAAAAACAAGCTTCTGTCAGATTTCCCAATACTTCTTATGTATCAGCCATGTTTTGATATATTCAGGTACATATTTTTGTTGTTCCAAAGCAAAAGAAAAATATTTGGTTACTCAGTATTATCTTTTTAGCAAATAATAAATGAGACTTCAATCAGAAAAGTTACATTTTAAACAAATTATGTATTTGAGAAATTTGGCAAAAAAATATCGAAAAATTGTAGCATAAATGGTGGTTAAAGAGCAAATGCATATTTTGCACAAATCACATAAAAATCATTTTAATGAATTAAAAAAGGAATGAAAGATGAAGAAATTCTTAAGGGACATGTAATAAAGCAAATTAGAAGATAAGGAAAAAAACACTACAATTTCCTTAGTACAAGTGCAGAAAGAGAATTGTAGATAGTGATTGAGAAATAACAGGATTTCTTATTGTCATTTCTCTAACTTTATCATTCCTTCATTCAATCATATAGTCATCATTCCTCATCCATCATTCCATCATTATTCACTAATTCATTAATGAACTAACACAGGATACCTTGTCTGATGAAAGAAAATAAGGTTTTGAGGAAATAAGAAATTTATACATTATTGCAATGCCTGTTTCTTCTGTGTTAGGTGTTTATAATTGTATGTCCAATTGTTAGGTTTAAACCCTTATATCTTTGTAGGACGAGTTGTACAATCGAAGCCAAGAAGTAAGTACTATATCTTACATAGTGCACTTTTATTAGCCTTGGAAAATTGTTCAATACATTCTTTATTGTTTAATCATTGGGTCATTTCATTGTGGCTTGTACATAAATGGACTGTTTATAATTCTATAAACATTGAGTAACCTACATTCATGCATGTGTCCTATCGTTTCCCAACCAGTTACTATAATGGAATGTTAAGTTATCTGTGTCATTCTCTCATATTGAAAGTTATACTTTTCAAGGAAAAAACAAATCTTGATAGTGATGCTGTTAAATTTGAAAAGTAGAAAGGAATTTTATTGGAGGTGTAAAATAATTGAAAATTGTTCAAAATATTTTGATTTAAGGGTATTGTCAGTCCTTCATCTGCATGCTGTCATAGTAATTGTTGTAATGATAGGGTGCATGTTAATTGCTTTATAAATATACATACATGAGGAAGCCAGGATTTATTAGCTTTCATACATCCGATATATTATATTACATAATCAGGTTTTTAAGATCACCCCATTGGTGCTTTAGAATTTGAAATGTTGTTCCGACTTGCTTGAAAAGCTTACCCTGTTAGTGTTTTTTTTTTGTGGGTTGTTTTTTTATAATGAAATCATATCAAGTGTTTTATACATGTATATTTACACACATATATACGTATATATATATGAAAGTGGTAATAGATGTTGTGATATTGTAATTGTGTGTAATTTGATAAACATCAGATGAGGTATCCTATGTTTTTATAAGGCATCAATGGGAGATCTTGTCTTTTATTCTGTTACTCTCCTAAAATGTTATATATAGAAATTCTCCAACCATCCTTGTAGCTCTGATACTGTAAAAAATATATATTTTTATCAATCAACAATGTAACCTACAAATCGAAGTTTGAAATGTAGATTTTCATTTAATTTTAATATCAAACTGCATGCTTTTGCAATACTTCTGTAATTATGTTGTTTTTTTCACCATTGCTTAAATTTTTAAATAGCAGACATATGACAATTCTTGGTATTTTTATCTGAAATTAATTGTTGAAATTAATTGTTGATTGATAAAAAATATCATTTTTAATAAAAGAAGAATTTGCCATTTTCAACAAAACTCATTAGCAAGTTTACAGAGCTAAACCTTTACCTCTGAACATAATTCCATACCCTTTTTAGAAACGGACAAGATTTTCCATATATAGAAAAGACAGTGATAATTGTTTTCAGTTTTTATTTTATTTATTCCAACAACATGTGTAACAACTTTAACTTTACATGAGCATGTCTTTGTCAAAATGAACCACAGTGATCCTCAAATTTGTTCGCATTTTCTTTTCCTCAAAATTCTTTATTGTTTAACAGGTTGTATCTTTGCATGCTAAATTTTTCAGTTTTTTGTTTCCTTGTTGTAACTGTGTCTATACATATCTTGTTATGTAACATACCAGTATATAGTACAATGTATTATATATGGAGGATGTGTATCTAGTGATCTTTCTGCAAATGTTTTTCTCGATTCTCAATTCCTATTGATACTGATGTTTGTTTTTTGCCTCTTTTTCCAATTTACAGCAATCAGCTCTGGCACGTTATGCCAGCAGTTTCGAGGGTAAAGGTAGCTCTGTAAACCTTGATGTTCCATCTCTCAAGAGTGGGGTAATTCATAATGATTATTATTTACTTTTAAACTAGATTCAACAGGTTGGGTGATGTGCTTTGTATTGATAATGTCGAAAGAAAATACTGGATTTTTAGTCTTGTTTCATGGAGATTTTTAGCAAAAAAGTGGCTTCAGTTGCATTCAATGTTACAAAAAAACAATAACAAAAAACAATAACTTTCAGTCTATTTAAAAGTATTCAGCAGTGTACAGAAATTAGTGAAATAATTTACTATTGTTAAAATGGTGAAAAAACTTTGGCTTTCCAGTCAAATTTAGTTAGAAGTTGAAATGAGATGGAAAATATAAATTTGTCAATAAGTTAATATTCTCAGCCTGTTGATCTAGGTGAATGTAAAGTGTATTGTTGCCCTGCTCTCATAGGCTGCATGGCTGGACATTGGGATGGTCCATATATAAGTTGACCTCTGCTTGTAGGACGGCATGAACGCATGCATTTTGTATACATTGGTGATTGGGATCCCTCTACTTTTAAAAAAGGCACATGATAATATGCTTAACAAGTAGATAAGGAAATCTTCGAATACTTTATTTATCATGTATCCATTGTATAACTTTATATTGCCAAATTACATTTATGCTTAAAAGAAAGATGTATTGAGATGTATTTAACCCTTACCTACTAAATTTGTATTATGAATATGTCAGAGGCCTTCCATTTGATAGAGCTGCTTATTGTAAGGCTATTTAGTATCAAAATGCTCTAGTTAAGACAGTCAACAGTCTATACAAATGGATATGCAGGCTGAGCTGGATTATGGTATAAAATTCTTACTGTTTCAAGAATGAAAAGGGTCATTTTGAACTGTGAACCCTGAAAATTTTACCCTGAAAATCTTGATGCTCAATTTTACTTTATATCTTTTTGTGTGTGTTTGATAAGGGGAGGGCATAATTTTGCTGTGGACAGTATTTTAGTAAAAGAGGCAATTTGCCTATACTTACTGAAATTGAAATTTTTAGTGTTTTAATTTCCATAAATTACAATTCTACATGTATTTGTCATGTGCCTTTGATTTAGGTTTTAGAATGATAAACATTCAATGTTTGTAACTGTTGTATTTATTATTCCAGAGAAAATACCTTGTTTTAATTTGACACATTTTGTAATATAACTTAAGATAAGGCATGTCACATTTGAATGTCTTAAAAAATTTATTTTGTAGATAGATATCATTTAGCAGAAGATGATTTAGCAGTTTTGTTTTTTATTTTTATCAACTTATTGTATGAATTTTGCAAGATTTAGTTTCAGTTTTATTTTCATTTGCATTTTTAACTCGTCATTTTCCTTTTCAAATTTTTTAATTCCCAAAATATATTATTTAAATAAAACCCCTATTCCCCTGGGTTTTTTTTGTATTTGATTTTATTTGGAAAAATAATTTTAAAAGAATTTATGAAGTTTTAAACTGTTTTGGGGCCTTTTAAAAAATATGCATGAGGGATTTGATTCCCTTTCATGACTAGTTCATTTTTTTGTCCTTTCTGTTAAGAGCATTAGAGAGTAAATTTTAGTTTTACTATGATAAACAAATAATATTTCTTTTCTTTTCCATAATAATTCCTTTGGGATTGTTATCTTAAGATTTTTCATGAAAGTCAGTTTAATTTGATAAAACAATTTTCACAGATTATGCTGCCTTTATGGTTGGATATTTTTTATTTATTTAATAATTGATATAGAATAATTCAGGTAGTGTTACACATTAAAAGTTAGGAACTTGCTATAGAGACTTGAAAGAATTAATGTTTCTTTTGTTCAGGTTCAGTGGTTGATAGATAACTATGAGACAGCAGATGGCGTGAGTCTGCCACGCAGCACTTTATATAATCATTACCTGAGACATTGTCAGGAACAGAATCTTGATCCAATGAATCCAGCTTCCTTTGGTAAACTTATACGCTCTGTGTTCCTTGGGCTGCGTACAAGAAGGCTCGGAACTAGGTATGTTGTGTTTGGAAATGGAGAGTAAGAACCTGTACCTCATAAGGACAATTTAAGTTAATTAACAGTAATTTGAAGACACAAGCAAATTGAGTACATACTTGATAAACTAATAAATTGTATATACATGACTAAACTTTCCGTAAAACATTTTTTTACATGAACAACACATCTGTTGTTATCGGTAGAGATATGTAGATATATAATCAAAATATCATAAAAGTGTACAAGTCAGGATCAGAATGTTCTCATTTCTTACATCTTATTTAAATACACTATTTAGAAATTAGATATTGCCACCATTGGCAACTTTAAACCTTCCATTGCTGTATTTTTTATGTACTAAAGGAAAGTATTGATGTTTCAGAACACCTGTCTTAATAAATATTGATCTGTTGTAGTAAGGTGATCATCTTTCATTCTGCCATTCCAATTTTGAAATGAATATTCCCATCAGGGCTCTGTTTCATGTCTTCTTTATATTGACAATAGATAAGTGATTGTAGAAAGCTATAAATTCAGCTGTATAAAAAGACTTTGTGCTGAATTGAAGTTTTATGAGGTTCTTTTTAGCTCGACTATTCGAAGAATATGAGAGCTATTGTAGTCGCCCCGGCGTCGGCGTCAGCGTCGGCGTCTGCGTTGGTTAAAGTTTTTTGTAAATTCAAATATCTCAATTATTGCTTGAGATATTCAATTGAAACTTACAATACTTATTTATAGTAACAATATACATCAGATTGACAAGTTGGATAACTCTGCATACAATATTGACAGAATTATGCCCCTTTTTAACTTAGAAATTTTGGTTAAAGTTTTTTGTAAATTCAAATATCTCAATTATTGCTTGAGATATTCAATTGAAACTTACAATACTTATTTATAGTAACAATATACATCAGATTGACAAGTTCGATAACTCTGCCTACAATATTGACAGAATTATGCCCCTTTTTAACTTAGAAATTTTGGTTAAAGTTTTTTGTAAATTCAAATATCTCAATTATTGCTTGAGATATTCAATTGAAACTTACAATACTTATTTATAGTAACAATATACATCAGATTGACAAGTTGGATAACTCTGCCTACAATATTTACAGAATTATGCCCCTTTTTAACTTAGAAATTTTGGTTAAAGTTTTTTTGTAAATTCAAATATCTCAATTATTGCTTGAGATATTCAATTGAAAACTTACAATACTTATTTATAGTAACAATATACATCAGATTGACAAGTTCGATAACTCTGCCTACAATATTTACAGAATTATGCCCCCTTTTCAACTTAGAAATTTTGGTTAAAGATTTTTGTAGATTCAAATATCTCAATTATTGCTTGAGATATTCAATTGAAACTTACAATACTTATTGATAGTAACAATGCTCATCATATTGACAAGTTGAATAACTTTGCCTATAATATTTACAGAATTATGCCCTTTATAACTTAGAAATTTGGTTAATGCTTTTTTTTGTAAAGTCAAATATCTCAATTATTGCTTGAGATATTCAATTGAAATTTACAATACTTTTTTATAGTAACAATGTACATCAGTTTTGCAAAATTGCCATAACTCTGACTGCAATATTTGCAGAATTATTTGCCCCTTTGAAACTTAGGAAATTTGGTTAAAGGTTAAAGTTCTTCAAAGATATTTACTTGAAACTTTACACATGTGCTTAGGGTCATAATTGGAGAGTCATAAATTGTATGTCACTGACCAAGTTCTATAACTCTACTCGCATTTAGGCTGATTCATCTCCCCTTTTCTACTTAGTCTATTGGTTAATGTTTTACATGCAAGTATTACATATCTCAATAACTATTAAAGATATTTATTTAAAACTTCACATATGCATTTAGAATCATAATTGTAGGTCACTGACCAAGATCCATAATTCTATCTTGCATTTAGGCTGATTTTTCTCCCCTTTTTCAACTTAAAAATTCATAGTAAAATTTTGCTTGTAAGCTGTTATCTCCATAACTACTGAAGAGTTTGTGCCTTTTTGGGGACATTTTTATGCATTCATAATAATAAAGCAGTGATTTACTTGATAAAACATCTTTATAACAAGCCTGTGTACCTTTTCAGTCAATTTTATGTATTCATAGGTAACTAGCATTATTATACTCAATAAATCACCCTTGTGACAACATTTTGAATAGTCGAGCCAATACTGTCCTCCGACAGTTCTTGTTTGTTGTTGTTTTTTATGTTCAAGGAAGTAGAATTAAGGCAATTGTGCTGACTTAAAGATACAATTATATCCATTTTCTTAATTTTTTTTTTATAAAATTTCTTCTTTTTTTTTCAGAGGCAATTCAAAGTACCATTATTATGGTATTAGAATTAAAGCAAATTCTCCCTTAAATCAATTTACTGATGATCAGACTATGGCTATGAGACAACAACCTTTATATCAGGGCAAAAAGTAAGTTTGTCTTACATAGCAACCTTTTTGAGGGCAAAATAAAAGGGTGTTTTCAATTCAACCTCTATATCTGTCTTCAAGAGCAACCTCTTGTATCAGAGCAAAAAGTAAATTTGTCTTATGTTGCAACCTCTACCATGGCAAACTTAGTGTTTATTCAAATAAAATCTTTATATCTGTAACAATATTCAAAGCAACCTCTTGTATCAAGGCAAAAAGTTTGTGAGTCCTCAATAGCAACTTCGATTTAAGGGCATGGTGTATGTCTTGAGTAACAGCCTCTTTATCAGGGAAAAAAGAGTAGTTGTTTATACAGTAGGACACATTATGTAACATGATGATGATAGATGAATATCTATGGACCTGGCTGATGACCAGAATGGAATTTTTTCCTTCACGTAAATTTTCAAAATCGGGAGAGAAAAAATTTGCACAAATAATCTTGAATACTAGACAGGTTAATGTGAGATACTATGTGGTAAATCGTATTTATACTATTTATTGGATGAATTGTTGTAGATTTCGCCCGAAGTCTGAGGGTGGAGACGGAGGTTATGGAGGATCAGAAAGTCAGCATCAACATGATGGTCCCACCACACAGCAGCAACAGCATCAACAGTTCTTGGGGGATGCTTCAGGGGCAATACCGAACTTTGGTGAAATCGATGTAACCTCGAAACCCCCTGCCCGAGGGTTTATGGGCTATGGATCATATCCCTCATTTTAAAAAATGAAACAGAGAGAAAATCCCTGAGGTATTTTTTAATTTTTTTCCCCTTGAATAAATAGTTTAGTAAATAATTGAGAGCACCCCTTTTATATAAATGAAAATTAGGGGGAGAATTTAAAAACTCGCCCTTTGTTAATGAACTTTTTTAAAAAAGGCTTTTAAAAGAGAAAAATGGAAGTTTTTAGGGTTTTCAAAGGCCTTATTGTTTTGCAAAAAGCAACAAAAATCAATTTTCTTCCTATTAAATTGAAGTTCAAAATGGCAAAAGAGTATGATGCTTGTTTGTTTATGGGATTTAAAAGCACTGGTTAAGAAATCATGAAAATAATAAGTTCCTTTTTAATAACATTAGGCAGATTGAGGCTAAGCATTTTATCATATATTTCCCCTATGAATATAAGTTTCATGATGAAAGAAGTGTCATGCCATGTAAGGTATTTTCTGATAGTCTTATAAATAAGGCTTTGTCACATACAGATAATTCATTGGTTTAATATGATCATTTGTTTGGGCAAATAAAAGATAATTTGATCATCCATTGACTTGGAATGAGGCAAGATAAAATCAGAATTCATATCATTTAGGAATAATGCTCTGAATTGATAATCCTGAATCGAAGTTTATCATTCATACTGCTCTTATATAGGTGATAAATTTACATGAAATCTATTTGATCAGATATTGTATAGTAGGTATATTTTCTGTTTCAGGCAATTGTAGATGTAGTTGTTAATCTCCAGTTTTCCCTGATAGAGGCATTGTGGCAGGGATTCTGGAGAAATCAGTCGTTAGATGAGGGTTTTTAAACAACTGCTCCCAGTAATCTTTTAAACTAAAAAGCCCAATAATTGAAAATAAAACCATTCCCCCTTGTTTTGAAAAACACACATAGTTTTAAAAAACTTTTTATTTTTCACAACTTTAAAGTTTTGAAAAAAATTCATTTACGGGCTATATTAGTTAAAAAAGGGGGCTTATTAATTTTTCCTTAAAAGAAATTTTGGGCAAATCTGTTAATTGTTAGTAGTGTTAAAGTGTGGCTTGTTGATTTTATTGAAAATTTTAGAACTGTAAAGATAAACAGAATTTTAATGAAATACAATATGTTTTTGAGCATGTAAATAAAAAAAAACACAGTACATTACTTATTATTAATAAGAAGTTAAGTTATTCAAGTTAATGGGATTGTTTTTCCAGATTGCAGTATTGGTAATTTATTATGTTTCTGTTTGTTTTTTTTCAGTCCTGATAATGACTATGAGAGACGGTTACCCAGGGATAAATTATATACAATGTGTAGATATGAGCCAGTGATGGACTATGTCCGTAAATCTGATTACATGTTTTACCAAGCCCTTGTTGAAGTCCTTATTCCTGATGTTCTTAGACCTATTCCAAGTAAGTTGTCATTTTTTACCATAAATGTTTACCACTACAAAAAAAGGTTTATAATGAACTGGCCTTGATTTGAATTTGTAACTGTATAAAGTTAGTTAGTTGGCAACACTCTTTAAGTGGCAAGAATTTGAAAATTTATACACTGGTTAAACTCTAATACTTATGTTGTAAGCTTTTAAGATAATCATTAGGAAGTAATACGTTTTAAAAAGTAAATAAACTACTTTTTGTAACATGGCAAGAGTTTAAGAGGAATTTAAGAGGACAAGTGTTCGTGTTAGGCAAGATGTTCTTGAAAAGAATAATGTTGTATGCAATTATCTTTATTGTTTCATATGGGAATTTTGTCCTTGATATATTCAGATAATTTGCAATTTTTAGGTTCTTTGACTCAAGCCATCAGGAACTTTGCCAAAAGTCTTGAGAATTGGCTAAAAGGAGCCATGACCAATGTGCCTGATGAAATGATGAAAACTAAGGTAAAAATAAACTTTTTTTTGAATTTCTTATTTCTAAAAGGAACTTCACTTACAGCCTTAAATTATTAATCTTTTCATAAATCAACTGATGTGCTTAAAATTAAAACAAATATATATACAATTGATAATATATAAATATACTATCAGTAATAAAATGATAATCAATTTTTTTTGCAGTTTTTGGTCAGCTTCAGTAAAAAAGCATTGCAAGGCTTTTCAAATGGGGGTCAATTTGTGCAATTAAATTGATTATTTCTGGGTAGGGGAGTGAGCAAATGATCTGAAATTTTGTACACGAGTTATTGATCTTTACCTATATGAAGTTATACACACATGCAGACACAAATATATTTCAAGTCCCTCCATGTCGGAAAGCCTCATCTGATAACTAATGAACCAGTTGTCTTTTCTGATAATTTAGTTGGGAGCAGTGAGTGCCTTTGCCCAGACACTTCGAAGATACACGTCCCTGAATCATCTTGCTCAAGCTGCAAGGGCAGTATTACAGAATACCTCACAGATCAATCAGATGTTGACTGACCTAAACAGAGTGGACTTTGCTAATGTTCAGGTGAGCTTTAAAAAATAATCCTTTTGTAGCAACTTTATTGTCTTGTTTGCTAATTATAGCTTACTTTTGTTTGTTTTTGGTTTATGTTGGTTTTAAGGTCACAATTAGCCTATTCAAATTTACTATTTGTGATTGTAAGGCCTCTGATTTGCCTAAGGAACAAATTAGCACCTGAAACAGCCCACTTATAGATAACTTGTAAGCGTATGTGAGGGAAGGCTTTTTGATAATCTCTTTGGTGTCGTGCATTCATCATAAGTTGTCAAAATTATTTATCTTTGTATCATTAAAAGAAATATTTTGATGACTAGATGATGATGATATTTTGTATATAAATTGTACTTAAAAAGAAAGTAGAGTTGTTAAGGTAGCTGACTTTGATTTACTTGTTCCTGTCACAGCTGAGGATTTGGATCTAGAAGGGTCTGGATTCGGTTATGCATGTTTAACTTACAGAATGTGAATGTGTGCATGCTTGTGGCTGAAATAATGCTTACAGGGATATCTTATGTTTTAAACAGTAAAGCTGCAAAGTCACTATATGACCAAACAAAAAAAGCAAAGCAAGAAATTATACAAAGTATATTCATAAAATATGGCAATACATTGTGTTAATTTCAGGAGCAAGCTAGTTGGGTTTGTCAATGTGATGATAGCATGGTACAGCAGTTAGAACAGGACTTCAAAAAGACACTTCAAGCTCAGAATTCCCTGGAACAGTGGGCAATCTGGCTTGAAGGTGTAGTTAATCAGGTCCTTAAACAACACGAAGGAAATCCAAACTTTCCAAAAGCAGCTAGACAGTTTCTTCTCAAGTGGTCTTTTTATAGGTATATCTATTTATACACATTTTGTATTTGTGTTTTTCCAACTCTTAGATGTATGATAAACACTTAACATTTTCAGTCTTAACAATTGTGATAGTAGCAATAGGTTGCTGAATTCAGAATTCATTAAAATTGAAAAAAGCTACACTCTCTAAGCTGGCTTCATAGTTATTTTGTTTGATAAAGATATTATTAGGTATGAATATTTAATGATTACCTCTTCTGAAAATCTATTATTGCGTAACAGGTTTTTAAAAAAAAAATTCCTTTATTTTCAGCTCAATGGTTATCAGAGATCTTACTCTACGTAGTGCAGCCAGTTTTGGTTCATTTCACCTCATTCGTTTATTGTATGATGAGTACATGTTTTATCTTGTTGAACATAAAGTTGCCTCGGCAACTGGTGAAACACCCATAGCTGTCATGGGGGAGGTAAGATATGCTTGTGATAATTTTGTTGTATTTAAGAAACTCCACTGACGTCCAAAAGCTTAAATACATAAAATTTTGAATTTTTACATAGATCAGCTGGGGCACTTGTAATTTAGAAACATACTCGGCAATAAATTGAGAAGGGTATTTTTGAGCTTTTTTTATTGGATTGAAATATGTTGGAACACTTTTCAATTTTGGGTCAGTTTTCACAATTAGAATAATTTGTCTGGAAAAACAAATTGAGCAAATGATCTGAAATTTTACACACAGGTTATTGGTCTAGACCTACATCAAATGGAACATCTACCTCTAAAATGATTTTCATTCCTGTCGTGTTGCGGAGTCCCTTTAAAGTTTATCACTAAATACAGTATTGAGATATTCTTTATGTTGAATCTGAAGATATTTTATCAAAAGAAATATTAGCATAGCAATGAAAGGAAAATCCTACTTGTATATATAATTTTCGTTAAGCAGGTACTATATTTAATATATGTCAGATAGGCTTACTTGTTGAACATGCTAATTGATGCTCTTGTAAATCATTTTATTGGAAAATTAATTGATTTTTCTACAGCAGAAAATCATCTTTATAGTATATGGTGTTAATGGTTTTGAGTAGTAGAAGCATGGCTGTTAATTGACAGTAGATTGAATTTTCTTGTTGTTATTTTTAACAGTTTGTGGATCTAAGCAGTGCTGTGGCCATGAGCTTCTCTGAGGCAGATATGGATAAGAAGTTAGATGTATCATCTTTAAACAAAACATCCAGCAACATAGTCAGCAAACCACCCACCCTCATACAAGCACCTTTAAACAAAACAACAGGGGCTGCAACATCCCTGATTAACAGAACAACAGCAGAGAATATAGGTGGGACATCAGGGGCAACAACTCTGATGGTCCTCACAACTAGCACATCGGGTACAGCCAATCACAACGGCTCTGTAGGTATGATGTCATCAGGCAACACTGGCACTCTGGCAGTGAAAACAGCAACTACCACCGGAGCAATGGGTGGAGCAAAGACAATTGTTGTAATGCCAGTCTCAAATAATTATGCTGCTGGTGATGGTGCCACAGCAAAACGCTTTAAAATAGAATAGTTAGAAACACACTGAACTATATATCTCTCATATTTGCCATACACTCGTCATTCATATGGACAGATGTAGTTCAGAAAACTAGTGTTGAATGCCAATTTGGATGGTATACAAGATAATGACCAAGTTCCATTGGTTGTTTAAAGCTGCTGCTCTGAACTGATGAAAAGCTCACTTGTCTTGATTAATAGTTGTGTTGTTGTTTGTTTTAAATATTTTTTTAACAATTTTTATTGTTGAATGTTTGTCAAGATTTTTTTTTTATATCAACAGAGAAAAAAAAGCTAATTTAGTATAATTTGTTAACACAATTTATAATCAGAATCATTTTTTAATAAAGAAATTTTTTGTCTTATCAAAAGTTGTTAAATAGTTTGTTAGAATAGTAAAAATTGTATACTTTACTTTGAGAGTTACACTTATCCAACAGATGCAATGATCTTTAAATCGTTGAATGTCAAAAATGTAGTTGATGATTTGCGGTTTATTCTGCTGTTTTGCATTCAACATTGTTTATGTGCTACTTGTTTTATGAATGCTTTTATAGTTATTTTATATATTTTATCATCTGTGTATCATTATTTTTGCAAGCATAGATTAGTTTTATGTGCTTTTTTTACCTGAATACTTCATTTAGGTAGTTTACACCTCAATTATAGTATGGGAAAGATATTTTTTTAAAATTGGCTCAAGTGAAAAGTTCCAAGTACACTGTGCGTTGTCTTGGTTTGTTAAGTTATGTGTTAAAATTATCTAACCCTTAAAAAGTTGTAAATTGCACTGGAAGCCTTGAATAGCTTTTTACCTGTCTGAAAGATTGCTGGTATTTTAGTATAATGACGAAAAAAGCTGGCCAAAATATCTTGAAAAGTTTATCTACTATCTAAACAAAAGTTAGCTGCTGTTTTGAGAACATGTTAAGCGTTGATGTCTAAAAGAGGTTTAGTTGAAAGCAGTCTTTACTTTGGGAATAATGATTTTAAGGTGTTACTGTTGTCAAACTTTTGAATTCCAAAATGATCACTATGTCACTTCATATTCAGTAAACATTAACGACTAGGAATTTGTGTTCAAACATTGTCGTCCTTGTGTTTTATTGTATTGTGTTTTAAATTGTTTTTTCTACACATTTGAAACTTGTAAATAATAGTTAAAAAAAATTGTAAATACAATTATATTTATATACATTTGTAGTCATTTTGTCTTGTATTTTGTGTGTGGAGGACATAAAGTCTGCAAGGGGGTCTAGTAATGTTACATTTTGGATATGAAAGAAGCAAAGGTGCTGAATTAAGAGAATATTTGAAGATACTCGTATATATTGTCAACAATACTATATATTTACCTTAATGAGGACGAAATATGGTAGTTAATTGGGCTCTCATTTTTTAATTTTTGTATTGGGGAAACCTAAGATACTGAAGTCCTGCAGTGAATTGACGATAATTTCCTCCTTGTGTTTATGTAAGCAGAGTATAACTAGTCGAGCAGGGTACACATGTATATATAGAAGACCATTAAATTGAATTGCTATGTCTGATAATAAAGTGTAAAAGATATATTGAAGTGGCCTTGATTTTTTTTTGTTACAGAAATTACTAGACATTAATTTTTCTATTGCCATATAGATTGTTCTATATTTTAATGTAGATGTAGTGATTTTACTTTGGGTGTGAGAGATATTTTAGTATTTTATTATTATTTAAGACCACTTGTTTCAGAGCACAAGAAAAAATCAAATTTATTATATACAACAGCTGTTATTTCTGTGGTACATGAAATTGTGATACATTTTATTGAATGTATTTTATTCAATAATCTTTTTTCTTTCTACATTTTAACATTTTTCAGAAAGAGATACATATTTCTTTTACGGCAAAAATAAATTAAATGCTTTCTTTGCAGTAATTAATGATCTGGAAAATTTGGAAAGATTTGACCTTCTTTTCTCAAATGTTGAAGAAAAAAAAGTCTAGAGAAAAACAACTTATGTTTGTTAAACGAGTTGAACAGGTAGTGAAAACTGAACAAGTATTTGTCAAAAATTGTCATATGAAAATACATTTTTCACTTTCAGTCCCTAACATTGTTTTAAGCTAAAACAGAATCATCTATTTTGTCAAACCTTGTGACAAGGTCATGTTTTATTTGATAACTTGCATGTCAGGTGGTGTTTTTTTTTGCCATATTTAATGTTTTAAAAAGTTATAATGTTGCTATTTATTTCATCATTTATCTTTCTTAATTGTAAGTTCATGTTGGGCTTAATAATGTGTTCAGTTTTGTAACTGTATGTCATGTTCTTTTTTTTTTTTATCAAGTTTGTTAAAAGATGCAAGTTGTTTGAAAGTTTCTAAGTCTAGTGTCATATTGACAATGTCTACAAGGCTAAGGATAAATGACTTTGCTGATGAAAATGAGTTATAGCATAATTAAAAAAATTTACGTGGAATGTCACATTTGTACAAAGAATGGGACATTACAATTCTTGGTGTTTTAATTCTGATTTAGTTATTTTTTTCTACTCTTGGAAAAAAATGTAGGTGACTTCTGTCGGGATCACAACTTTAGTTTGCTTATTCTAGAGTTAAACCTTTTTTTTATAGTGAATTCAGATTTTACATTGTTTTCTTACTGATTATACAGAGGTTTTACAGGTCTTTATTTTTATATTCAGAGGCCGAGTTCAATTGTTTAGCTTTGCATCTCAGTTTTATTTTCTTATTTATTTTCTTATAAGGAAAAACTTTTCTTTTCGTTGTTTTTTTTTTCTTTCATCATATGTGCTGAATGGTGACACTGGAAAAGAACAATGTTGGTTTACATTGTAGTTAGTTATTGTTTTAAGTATTGTTGAAAAGTTGAAATGCTCAGTTAAATCTCTGTTAATCTCCTCATTTGTGAATAATTTAACAAAGATCCATATAACAATAGTTCTAATATTTTAAACTTCCATCAAGTAATTTATTCTCTGTGTCATTGATTAAATAACCAGATGACTTGCCATTTCTTCCAACATTATTGAAACATTGAAATATTTTAATCATTTCTTTGATATTAGCAAAGAACATATTTTGCAGACATTTTAATAAGAGTACAGAAAATCATTTGAAATCAGTATATATAGTTATCATTTACAAAATCTCTTTTCTTATAAAATAGATGGTGGTCATGGTCTTTAAAAGTAGATATCAAGAGAAAAATCAGTCTTATAAGTTCTTGTATTATTACTTTGTAAAGAGAATGTTGGAACCAAGTCCCTACAATATTTATAAATTTATAAAAACAAGAATTGTAAAATTTGCCTAGCTGTAGTCTGTGAACATTTTGTACAGTATTATCTTTTCATATGCAAAATGAAAGAGAGATATTTGGATATTCTATCTTAATTAAAAGTGTTTGAAAGCCCATGCCTTTATTATTATTTTTTACTTTATATTAAATGCAATTCTGTATTTTATGAATCAAAACCAAAAAAGAGTACCATTAAATGATCAAATGAGTACAAGAAAGGCTTTGTGTTGTTTGTTTGCATAATGAGCATTTCATTGAGAGTGATATGTGGCAGTTTAGGCTAGCCTGATAAATAGAAACTTACCATCCAGTTACTAAAGTTGTTGAAATAGTTTTTAGTTCCTACTTAAAAGACTTGGTTAGTGGTTGAAGTGCCAGATCAGCAAATAGTTAAAACATTTCTTGTGTCTACCATAAGGTTTAAATTTACCACAAATTGCTTGGACTAATAATTTGCATGGGTAAAGTGACGGCTTGTGATAGTGCTTCAGTCTCAATACAAACTACATTGTATAGTTAATCTAACGTGGTTACCTTGTCAAAATAACTTTACATTTTGCCATAAATTTGTTCAATTTTATGTTACTATGCAAACATAGCCAATTGTTCATATGTCGCACTGACATGTCAGAATGTATTCGTAGCTATCAATTTTACAAAGAATGGGCCTCCAAAAGGGAGCATATTAAAACAGACCATCCATCTGTGTCTGTGCGTCCCCACTTCATTCATGTCCGGACTGTATTTTTGTCATGAATTGTATCGAAGAATTTTAAATTAACTAGGCATAAATGTCAACCACATCGAGATGATTTGTCACATCTGAGAATTACGTCCCTACCTCAAAGGTCAAGGTCACACTAACATTTTGAAGTTTCATGTTATCTTAATTAAGAGTTAATAAGTACACACATTCGTGTGCAGACTTTAAAACTTTGTCATGCATCGGAGGATTTTTAAATAACTAGGGATAAATGTCAACCAAATCAAGACGATGTGTCGCATCCAAGAATTACGTCCTTACATCAAAGGTCAAAGTCACACTTACATTTTGAAGTTTCACATTATCACATTTAGTTGATAGGTACACACAGTTGTGTTGGGGCTGTAACTTTGTCATGCATTGAAGGATTTTTGAATAACTAGGCATAAATGTCTACCATATCAAGAATGTGTCACGTTTAAGAATCCCGTCCCTACCTCTAAGGTCAAGGTCACACTTCCATTTTAAAGTTCACTTTGTCACAATTTTAGAGTTTATAGGTACACACATTCAAGTCCAGACTGTAACTGTCATGCATAGAAGGATTTTAAAATAACTATGCATAAATGTCTACCACATCAAGACGACATGTTACGTCCAAGACCCATGTCCCTACCTCAAAGGTCAAGGTCACACTTATAGTTTGAAGGTACTCATTCTCTCAAGAAGAGTTTGAAGATACACATTCATGTGCAGACTGTTACTTTGTCATGCATGGAAGGATTTTAAAATAACTTGGCACAAATGTCTACCACATCAAGACGATGTGTCGCGGCTAAGGCTCATGTGCTTCCCCACTTACACAACAATCATGTCCAGACTGTAACTTTGTCATGCATTGAGGGATTTTGTAATAACTTGTCGCAAATGTCTATCACATGACAACATTGTGTTGCGTCAAAGAACCACGTCCCTTCTCCAAAGGTCAAGGTCACACTTATATTTTGAAGGTTCACACTATCACATTAGAGATTATAGGTACACACATTCGTATCCGGACTATAACTTGGTCATGCATTGAAGAGTTTTAAAATCATTTGGCACAAATGTCTACCACATCAAGATGATGTGTGTAAGACCCATGTTCTTTGAAGGTACTTATGCTCATAAGAAGAGTTTGAAGGTACACATTAGTTTACAAACTGTAATATTGTCAAACATAGGATTTAAAATAGTCAACCATATCATGATGATGTGTCACATCCAAGACCCTTGTCCCAAGGTGTTAAGTTTGCTATAAATAGCGCTTCATTTCACAAGAACAATATTAAGCAATAAGTTACTTTCATTCTCTTTTCTTTTCATAATACCTGCATACTTAAGAAACCTTTTTGGGGGCATTTGTAACATGTATGACAGCTCTAGTTATTAATAAGTTTAGCGCGGAGGAAGGTAGTCTAGTACTGGTGTAACTCTCCAGGAACGATGGTTAGGAAACTACCCGCCTATATGACTGAAATACTGTTGGGAAAAGGCGTAAAATGAAACAAACAAACAAAAAAAATAATAAGTTGATTTTATTGTTTAATAATTGGTCAATCACCGTTATAATAGCCAATCTCTTGAAGTATATTACCTATTGAACTCAACAGCCAGAAAAGAAGCATAACATCACTTTAAACTGCATGATATTTGGTATGCATGCAGCATGCTGTCACGGGTTTGTCTTTTGGGGTCAAAATAACTTCGACTAAATTATGTGTTTTCTTTGGTTAAGCTTTATTTATTGATTTGTAATAGCCTAGCATGGACAAGTATTTTTATTGGAATTTACTAGAATTTAAGATGGTTTTTGAACAACCCCACATTTTCATTTAATCCGTCAAGATATTGCTTTGAAACTAACAAAAAGTACCTTTACTTGTAGGCAAGAATACAAAAATATTTTGTCAAAGTTACTCACCTTTTGTAGGTTTTTCATACTACCCCACTTATTACTTAACCCTTTAATACATATTTATAACTGTTTCACTCATTTCAAGGCAAGACTATAATTAATAACCTTTTTTGTCATAAAATTCTTTAAAGTCTTATTTTTTAGCTCGACTATTCGATAAGAATAAGTAGAGCTATTGCAGTCACCCGAGCGTCGGCGTCGGCGTAACCACTTATGTTAAAGTTTTTGTAATAGTTCAAATATTTTCAAAGTCCATAGACATATGGCTTTGAAACTTTGCACACTTGTTCACCATCATGACCCCAACCTGTAGACAGGAGGAGGTAACTCTATCAAGCATTTTGACAGAATTATGCCCCTTTTTCGACTTAGAATTTACGTTAAAGTTTTTGTAATAGTTCAAATATTTTCAAAGTCCATTGACATATGGCTTTGAAACTTTACACACTTGTTCACCATCATGACCCCAACCTGGAAACAGGAGGAGGTAACTCTATCAAGCATTTTGACAGAATTATGCCCCTTTTTCGACTTAGAATTTACGTTAAAGTTTTTGTAATAGTTCAAATATTTTCAAAGTCCATTGACATATGGCTTTGAAACTTTGCACACTTGTTCACCATCATGACCCCAACCTGTAAACAGGAGGAGGTAACTCTATCAAGCATTTTGACAGAATTATGCCCCTTTTTCGACTTAGAATTTACGTTAATTTTTTTGTAATAGTTCAAATATTTTCAAAGTCCATTGACATATGGCTTTGAAACTTTGCACACTTGTTCACCATCATGACCCCAACCTGTAGACAGGAGGAGGTAACTCTATCAAGCATTTTGACAGAATTATGCCCCTTTTTCGACTTAGAATTTACTTTAAAGTTTTTGTAATAGTTCAAATATTTTCAAAGTCCATTGACATATGGCTTTGAAACTTTGCACACTTGTTCAACATCATGACCCCAATCTGTAAACAGTAGGAGGTAACTCTATCAAGCATTTTGACAGAATTAAGCCCCTTTTTCGACTTAGAATTTACGTTAAAGTTTTTGTAATAGTTCAAATATTTTCAAAGTCCATTGACATATGGCTTTGAAACTTTGCACACTTGTTCACCATCATGACCCCAACCTGTAAACAGGAGGAGGTAACTGTATCAAGCATTTTTTTTACTATCAAGCACTAAGAATAGTTGAGCGTTGCTGTCCTACCGACAGCTCTTGTTTTATAACGCTATCAAGTACTGAACAAAATTAAGCACATTATCTTTTGGACAGCTCTTGTGAAATATATGAATATTACATACATGTACAAGTACTTGTTTAAGGTTACAGTTGCAACATTTTTTCTTTGGATGGACATAAAGCAAAGACAATGGAAAAAAATAACTAAACAAAATAGTAAGAATTTCAAATTTTATTTCTTTTTTCTTAACAAATTACTTAATAAAATTCATATGGAACAAATAACATTGCTTTAATAAGGACTTGTCTATGCTTACAGTATGGAGCCAGGCAAACCTGTACATCCTTACAGTTTGACCAGACTATTCTGTTGCTAATACTTATAAGCATGACAGTTCAGCAGAAATTTCTGACTAATTTTTTATATACTTTTTATCTTTCTTCCAACTTAATTGAAATTGTTATATTCATTATGAGGACAAGAATACCCTGTTATAGCATCAACACTAGCAAACCTTGATGTGTATGTATAAATGAGCCGTGTCACGACAAAACCAACATAGTGGGTTTGCGACCAGCATGGATCCAGACCAGCCTGTGCATCCGCGCAGTCTGATCAGGATCCATGCTGTTCGCTTACAAACCCTATAACAAATAGAGAAACTGATAGCGAACAGCATGGATCCTGATCAGACTGCGCGGATGCGCAGGCTGGTCTGGATCCATGCTGGTTGCGCGGATGCGCAGGCTGGTCTGGATCCATGCTGGTCGCAAACACATGTTGGTTTTGTCGTGACGCGGCTCAAATAAATGATTGTCAACTGTCCTGGTAAGGCTAGCCTAGACATTATACATCATTTTACTTATTAAGTAGGGCAGTTTTCTTGTAGAGAAAAAAATTTAGCACCTATCGTCATTTGCGCTATATATAAACATGTTCTTATTTTATATATGTGATAAATAGAATATTATATTCGTGTAGATTCAATACTAAATTTATTGAACTCGTTGAATAAAACAATATTATGCTCGCCAGAGGCTCGCATAATATGATTTTATTCAACTCGTTCAATAAATTTAGTATTAAACTACACTCATTCAATATCCTCTATATATCAGATTAACATACTTTGCAAATGCTGTGGCCTGTTTAAATAAAATAAAATAAATAAAACCAAACAAAATAAAATATCAGATTATATGCTTCAGTCTCTTTACAAACATAAAAATAAACCAAACAAGAGGGCCATGATAGCCTTGAATTGCTCACCTGAGGATATAGTTTACACAGACAAAATTTCCCAATAAAATTGATCAAAATCAGCCAAGAGGTTGAAGAGATGTCATTTAAGTCTTAACTTTATTTAGCACGCAGGCAGCCATCTTGCTCAGCAGACTGTGATGATATAGTCAATTTCTGTAAAGTATCGCCAAAGGATTATACCTATTGAGTTTCATCAAAGATGCTCCCTACAATTTGAGGAGATACTGATTAAAGCTTATATCAATTTTTTTTTATCTTTTAATGATACAGGATGATCACAATAGCTCACATTGACCAGTGCAGACCAAGATAAGCTAGCACGACAGATTGTGGTCTGCACTGTTCTTGAGTAAATACTTTTTTTGAAATTTTTCCTAAAAATAATGAATGTTTTTGTTCAGACTGAAAGATTGACGAATCTGTTACAAATTTTCAATGTCTTTTGAGGAATTCTGACTAGGCAAGTGATTATACATAAGATAATGAGCTATAAAACAAAATGGTTTATGATAATTTATTATTAAATATTTTGCCATTTATCTGTAAAAAAAAATAATTGATAAGAAATGTTATTTAAAAGATTTTTTTTCTGACAACATAAAAAGCATTCTTTGCTAGCTTAATTTTGGCACATTATTGAATAATTATATTCTAGGCTACAATATTGCACAATACATGAGTAATAGGTATACATGACATACATGTATATATCTAATTAATAATACAAAGAAACATATTTTTCTGTGCCAAGATTTGCCAGTAATAAAACATCGTTTTCAAATACATGTAATGCTAAAAATCAAAGAAAAGAAGTTTTATTTGAACATGAAATTAAAAAACAAAAACAAACAAAACACATAACACACAGATTGCAAAACTCATTCTTTTTTCCTCTCACTTTGTTATTAAGATTGTTCAATATGCTCGCTAGTAATCAATTATTATTTAAATAAACAACAACAACAACAACACAAAATAACAGTGATAAATCATCTGGATAATAGAAAACTGTTTACAAATGAGCTGCGCCATGACAAAACCAACATAATGGGTTTGCGACCAGCATGAATCCAGACCAGCCTGCGCATCTGTGCAGTCTGATCAGGATCCATGCTGTTCCCTTACCAACCCTATTACAAGTAGAGAAACTGATAGCGAACAGCATGGATCCTGATCAGACTGCGCGGATGCACAGGCTGGCCTGGATCCATGCTGGTCGTAAATGCATAACGCTGTTTTTGTCGTGACGCGGCTCATTATTATACATTTTATACATACACATAATGTTGAAGTTTAACATCATTTACAGCAACATAAAATCTAGTATGCTACATTTTTTTTTTCAGGGAACAAATATCAATAATACAACCGCACAGTCATAATATCTACAGGTAAAGAGAATGAAAACAAATATTCAAAATGAACAGTGTTAACTGATATCATAAAAAACATCTGAACATAACATCTATAACATTAAACAAGGTCTATATTCAACATTAAATTTCGCAGTTTACTTAATTACATGTATGTACAAAAATCACAGGGTTCATATATAAAGCTTTATTCTTTACAGGGTACACATGTATCATTTATCGTGTATCATTTATAATTATTCTAACTATGAAAGAATTCACTACTATAGCATAGCACAGAACATATCAAAACAGATCTATTCAAAATCACAGGTTCATAAAAGCTCATTCAACAAATGACGCAGTCCAAAGTTAAAGGGACTCCACTGAGGTTTGTGACTAGAATTGAAATAATGTTTTGATATTAATGTTCTGTTTGGTTACGATCTACACCTTTAACTTGTGTGCCAAATTTCAGATCATTTGTGCACTTTGTTTTTATGTTTTGAGGCCCACATGGAAGATTGGGTAACCAAATGTGTAGCCTCAGTAAATAAATACTTACTACAGAGAATAATTCTTAATTACCATCTGCATATCTGTCTGTTTTAAGATCTCCCATTCAAGTTTTAGGCTTTTCAGCCTCAGTGGAATACCTTTAACATATCAAACATAATTATACTTTTTTTGCCCTCTGACTTATCAAATTACTCGTCCCTGGGGCTTGGGCTTTAAATGTTGTCCTCATGCTTCTGCAGATATTTATGCATGAAAATGGTGTATTAACCCACTATTATACTATATTCACTACCATAGCAAGGAATATATATTTGTAAAACATAACATGGTACATACATGTATAATTAAAAGCAGGAAACATAATAATATTACAGACAAAATACTCAACCAGAAAATATCATCGTAAATTATATACTGAACATACACATATCTAAAAACTGTAGTAGGGAACAAACCGGGGTATAATCAAAATCACAGATTATATATTTAATTACAAAACATATTCTCCACTATATCTGGTGAACATCAGAGAATATTTACAACATCTGGATACATTGTATATGAACACTGGTACAAAATAAGAACAGAGTACAAGTAATCACTTATTAATCATTTTCACTGCTATAGCAAATACTGTATGAACAAAAAATCAAAGGGAAAATATAACCATGCATTATATGGATTCTGTTCACCATTATAGCAAATAAATGTACAAATGAAATATTAAAAAAAACAACATTGATTTGTTCATTTCACTGCCCATATCACATATACTAGCTTAAAAAGGGAATATATTGGCTATTATTGCAGGAAAATGTACAGGAAATCACAGGGTAAGCATTTAACTTTAACAGATTAAACATGTGTAGTAATACATGGAATATATCATCAAAAACAACAACAAACAAATATTCTAGAATCACCGACCATAAACAAGCTACAACCAAATGAGAATAATATTGGTAGCATAAGCAACATATCCATGCTAGAGTGGATTTGACAATAATAAACTACATGATCTTTATAACATATTAATAGAAGCTTACATGTGGATTTTTTTTCATTTTCTTAACAGATTTATTATCACTTTCAGCCAGAACTAATACCATATGGGATAACCGAATTATGACCTTAACACTAACGAGAAAGCAGACATCTTTACTATAAGGGCAATACTCTCCTCTTTAATACATTTGAAACACCTTCAAATTATATAGTCTATATATCTATGGTATGGACAATGCATAAAGTTGTTACATGGAACATAACATTATAGAAACCTTGATTCATAAACGTTACTTCAAGACACATTATAAGCTGTAAACAATGTAAAACGTCTAATGTATGAACCCTGTATAAAATTATTACAGAAAGCATGATTATTAAAGACTGCAGAATGAATTATTGTGTATTATTTTGCACCTAAGATAAACAATTTTAAGAAACATGTAAAAAATGTTCAAGGAATATCTCCAAACTTTATACAACCCTAAAACTTGTCTATAAATTAGCATAATGCTTCTCTCAGACATAAAATAGGGAAGATGTCAACATAGCAGGTCTTCAACTTTTTAAATGTAAAATGCCAACAGACTTTTCAGTGTTTACAGTTTTATGCAAATTAGGGAATTGACTATCTAATTGCTACACTGGGATAGTTATAGTCACTAGTTCACATAGTTCACTTAAAAGAACACATGCTTTTGTCTGTGATACTGTTTAAGAGCAGATGACTTAGCGATGAAGAGGAAAAGTGGGACTGAAGTTTTCACTGCCAAAAAATGCAAAAGACCATTTCTAAATATGCGTAAGAACACGTCTGCTTTTATAGTTCCTCCATTTATTGTATTGAACCATTGGAATCTGAAATATAAAAATAAAGAAATATTTCAGTGATAATAACACACTGTTTCCAAAAACAAAAATGTTTTGTAATTTTCAATTTTTTAAGTCATCTAAAATATAAATATGAAATATGTCAAACAGAACTTAAAATAAAACATGGTTGTTTATCATAAAATCAGTGACACATAGAACATTTTAATAAAAGGTATCATTTTATCTAATCACTGATGAACTTGTGTAATGGACTTGCCCTCACTGCAGTTGGAACAGTCCATTATCATATAAGGCAGGTACAATGTAAAATGTCTAAGGGGTTTTAATATAAGAAAGTTAAAGTTAATTTACACAGTCTATTCGGATTTCACAGGTGTGTAGGCTGGCTGGACTTAGTAAGTCACAAGTCATGATCACTGCTAGCACTCTTATGGTTAAACTGTTATAAAAGTACTATGTATACTGTCTTCTTACATACATGTAATAACTTAAAAATGCAATTTTGTTTCACATCCTCGTACTTTTCTTTCCTTTTTTGTCTGATGGTAGGTTTGAAACTACATTACTATGACTTACAACTGGTAAATTGTAGATTGGATCTTCAAAACTTCTCTGTTTAAATTACATATATTAAGATATTACAAAATTGGGTCACCATGGTGCAAAGGAGTTATATATATGAATATGTGTCTATTCATAGATTATTTAGAGGTAAATACTTGGTTGCTGCTCGCCATTATGCGATAACTAATACATACTACTTTACTGGAATATTGATTATAGCATATCTGAGGAAAAATGTGCACACCTAACCTATTCCATTATATGATTTATATGTTGGCTCATCATCATTAACAAGGATTTCTTTTTCTTCATATTCATGGTCCACAAGAGACCCATATGGTTCATTGTGTCGATACAGGCAGTAATGCTGTACTATAAACAATATGTCAAACAATATGGAGAAAAATCCGAGGCCAAACTTTGTTGGATCACCAAATATTGAGCCCCAGTCATCTGAAATTAAAAGAAAAAATGTTAAAGTCAGAAATAAAATATCTTTAGATAGAAATAAAATTATCTTAAAGTTTATTTATATAATAAGGAATATGTCTTTCCTCCTAGTGTGGAAAGATTGAATTTGCCATTCTGTGCAATAATTTGCCCTTCTGTGCAATAATTTGCTCTTCTGTGCAATAAGTTGCTCTTTCAGGGCAATAATTTGCCATTCTGTGCAATAATTTGCCATTCTGTGCAATAATTTGCCATTCTGTGCAATAATTTGCTCTTCTGTGTGTTATCTTGATACAAAATAAACAGAACAATCGACCTTCAAAAGTAGTCATAAGTGCAGTCTCGACTAACGGACAGACCGACTGACTGATTTTAATATCTTGATACTGAAATTTATTCAACGTCTAGTTGATAGTTCTTAATAGGAAAATTCCATAACAAATATTAAGAGTGGTAATTTCAATAAATAGCAGTTTAACCAAATTGGAAATAAAATTAACAAGAACCGGTTGAACCGGGTGATGCTCCCCGAGAAGGTTCTGGACACAGGAAAGTATAAAAAAAATGAACAAAGGGCAAAAACTCAAAATTTAGGCAAAGCAGAGTTATGTTTTTTTGCACTGCACTTCTATTCAATGAGATCTATCTATCTAAAAAGTTTCCTGATGATATCAGAGTTATGTCCAGGGTAAAAGTCAAAGTGTAAAAATGAACAAAGGGCAATAACTCCAAAATTAGACCAGGCTTTGTTTAGGTTCTTTAAGCATTGCAGTTCTATCAAAATATATATCTAGCTACCTACAAAGTTTCATGTTGATATCTCTAATAGTTTTAAAGTAATGTCCAGGTCAAAAGTCAAAAAGTAAAAATAAACAAAGGGCAATTACTTCAAAATAAGGCAAGGCAGAGTAATGATTCTTAAGCACTGCACTTTCACCCAATGAGACCTATCTATCTACAAAGATTCATGTTGATATCTCTTATAATTTTAGAGTAATGTCCCAGACAAAGTTCAAAGTTTCAAAATGAACAAAGGGCAATAACTCCAAAAGTAGGCAAGACAGTGTTACAGTTCTTGTGCACTGCAAACTTACTCAATGAGATCTATCTACCTACAAAGTTTCATGTTGATATCTCTTATACATTAAGAGTTATGTCCTGGAACAAGTTCAAAGTGTAAAAATAAACAAAGGGGGATAATTCAAAAATTAGGCAAGGCAGAGTTAAGGTTCTTGTTCACTGCCCACCTACTCAATGAGATCTATCTACCTACAAAGTTTCATGTTGATACCTCTTTTACTTTTAGAGTTATGTCCCGGACAAAGTTCAAAGTGTAAAATAAACAAAGGGGGATAATTCAAAAATAAGACAAGGCAGAGTTACGGTTCTTGTGCACTGCACACCTACTCAATGAGATCTATCTACCTACAAAGTTTCATGTTAATACCTCTTATACCTTTAGAGTTATGTCCCGGACAAAGTTCAAAGTGTAAAATAAACAAAGGGGGATAATTCAAAAATCAGGCAAGGCAGAGTTACGGTTCTTGTGCACTGCACACCTACTCAATGAGATTTATCTACCTACAAAGTTTCATGTTGATACCTCTTATGCTTTTAGAGTTATGTCCAGGACAAAGTTCAAAGTGTAAAATAAACAAAGGGAGATAATTAAAAAATTAGGCAAGGCAGAGTTACGGTTCTTGTGCACTGCACACCTACTCAATGAGATCTATCTACCTACAAAGTTTCATGTTGATACCTCTTATACTTTTAGAGTAATGTCCCGGACAAAGTTCAAAGTGTAAAATAAACAAAGGGGGATAATTCACAAATTAGGCAAGGCAGAGTTACGGTTCTTGTGCACTGCACACCTACTCAATGAGATCTATCTACCTACAAAGTTTCATGTTGATACCTCTTATACTTTTAGAGTTATGTCCCGGACAAATTTCAAAGTGTAAAATAAACAAAGGGGGGTAATTCAAAAATTAGGCAAGGCAGAGTTACGGTTCTTGTGCACTGCACACCTACTCAATAAGATCTATCTACCTACAAAGTTTCATGTTGATACCTCTTGTTGTTTCAAAGTTATGTCCCGGACAAGAAAAGGGGACGGACGGACGGACGGACGGACGGAAAGACGGACGGACGGAAGGACGGACGGACGGACAAGGCGGCGACTATATGCTCCCCCGAAATTTTTTCGGGGAGCATAATAAATCAATCACTTACCACTGTTGTATGACAGTAAAAACATTTGTAGAAGACTAAGAGATCCACCAGTAAAATCCAACAACACATTTCCTATACTCCATCCATCCGTGCTCTTACGCTTAAAATTCATGTAGGCCTAAAAACAGAAACATCTAAATATATATTTGTACATCAATAGAATATTTTTGCTCACCAACTGCACATATACAATAAATAGAGGGTATTTGTTTGTTTTGAATAAATATGCTATATTACATGCAGAAGTGAGGAGATTGCAATATTTTCTTTAGCACTTTAGCATAAGTGAAAATGTGAATATTTTCTTACTTCATCGTGAGATATACAGCATATGCACATAAAAAACAACAACTTTTTTTGCGGTTAACAAATATTTTTTGCAAGTGTATTAAGTGCACTTACTAAATGTATTATTGACCTATGACCTACTCTACTAAATATAGCACTTATAACCATTTACACATTGCATGGGAAAAATTAAGTAACTTTAATGCAATATAATTTATTAAATGGGCTCAGCAGTATGGAAGTATTTCTGCATGTGACAACATACTTAATTTTACCTTTTATAATAAAGATAATGCCATAATTTATATTCCAACAATACACTGCACTATTTACCATAAAACTTTTGCATGGCTGCATAAAATTTTCAGTTCATTACAGAAAGATGCAAATGCGTCAGAGAAGATCCAGTTGTGGCTAAGATTCAAATTACAACCGCTGTTTACTAACAAAAGTAACAACGTTCCGGACACCTGAGCCAAAGAATCAATTCACCAACTTAGTCATCAGATTGTACTAATAGTTATGAATGTAGGCGTGAACTAAACCATAACAAAAGGATTATGGTAAATATATTATGGATAAGTAAACATATACAATATATTTACCTGTGGCATATATTTGATGAGCGTTACACCAAGTTTTATATATGAGAAGTAGTAGAGATACGTTAACCAGGTTATCTTGTGAAAAAGTGTAACAACCAATGAAATACCAGCAAACAACCACGCCCCTATCACAAGAACTAAACTGACTTTGGATATCTTCTGACCTCCTCTCTAAAATAATATAAAAAAAACATCATTTATTTAATATAATTGCATAAAATGCTTAAAACTTCACACAAGGTACACATATTTTGTACATTATTATTTGAGTATCTAAATCAAATACATTGTAGATCTCTTATAAAATATTAATCTAGAGGGATTAAATTCAATACAGTGTTGGTGCAGTACCTCTAGACACTTGCAGAAATCATGATCACAAAATAGACAAATATCACTTTTTTTCTAATTTTATTAAAGTTCTTATATAAATCAATATGAACAGATGAATTAGATGACCTAAAGTGCATTTCAACAAGTGAGAAGGCAAGATTTTAGCATTTTAATCCTTCAAGCACCTTGTTCAGTATATACCGGAATATGGCTATATTTAGTGTGGTCTCACTCAATCTAGAGGAATCATTTCTGAAATATAACAGTTAATGATAAACAGACTATTAAGTAAGCAAAGCTGTGCAGACAGGACTGATCTTTTACTGGCGATAGCAGTAAGTAACACTAGCTAATGAAATGAGCCGCGTCACGACAAAACCAACATAGAGGGTTTGCGACCAGCATGGATCCAGACCAGCCTGCGCATCCGCGCAGTCTGATCAGGATTCATGCTGTTTGCTTATCAACTCTATTACAAGTGGAGAAACTGACAGTGAACAGCATGGATCCTGATCAGACTGCGCTGCGCTGGTCTGGATCCATGCTGGTCGCAAACCCACTATGTTGGTTTTGTCGTGACGCAGCTCAAACGTAGAAAGTAATACAATCTAACAAAATCAGTTACTTACCTCATATATGAAGCATTGTATAATGGTTATAATTGTCACAAATATTGCATGTAATGTAAATATTACATCATTCAGTTGTACCGGGTTTATTCCTTTCGGGTGATTAGAATGGTACTCATCCTGAAAACAATGAAAATAAAATTAAAACACTAATTCAAGATCAACATTTAAGTCTTGGTAAATGAGTGTTATATACAGTTCTGGATAAGAGCCCTGGGTTATCACCAGATTTACTTAGATCTAATAAACTCCCAATTAAGATGACCTTGTAAAGCCTATGGCAGACATGTACTAAAATTAGTTGGATCAAATGCTAACATTAATAGAATTAATCAAATTAGCATTAAAATATATTAATCATCATCAATGTTCTATTAGTGTACCATGAAACAATATCAAAACTCAATGACTAGATCATTACAGTGTTTTATCTTTTAAGCACAGCTCTATAATATTATAAAGATCTATAAATTCCAGCATTACCTTTACAATAGACACCCAGAACATTCCTACATTGAAGAATCCATATGCCAGAAATCCTGTGATGTTGTACAGCAGAAAATCAAAATTCAATCCAATTACACTGAAAATAAAGCAACCAATAAATTCTAATAAATTCTATTAGAACAACTTTACAAAAGGTATCAATATACATTATCAGTAATTTTTCAACAGAGGCCTATAAAATGCCTCTTCCTTCCCAATCAAAATTTTCTTTAAAATCATGCACTTTTCCCAAACATCTGAACTTACACCAGCTTTTTTACATCCCAAATAAGCAATTTTAGCCACAACTTTTCCCAAAGTCAAGAGGCTATTGCCTCTTCCCAATTAATTGAGAAATAGAGAATAACAGGTTACTGTCTTTTGAGAAAGGGTTTCTCAGACGAGGTTAGATATGGTCCTGGAAGGGGCGAGGCTTGCCGAGCCCCTTCCGGACCATATCTAGCCGAGTCTGAGAAATCCCTTTCTCAAAAGACAGTAACCTGTTATTCTTTTTATCATGCCACTATTATGATTTTGCATCTTATTTTTTTAATTCGGGGCGCTAATTTCTGAAAGTACGGTAACCACTTTGTACAAGAGGGTTATACGCCAAAAAAGTAGTCCGAGGGTTTTTACCAATAATTTAATAACACAACACAATTTTTTGTACAATTTGCTTTAACAATTTATTTACTGTGTATCAACATCAATATTCAGCAAAGTTAATTAAATAATACCAACAATAAACATCATCAGTGATGATCTGGCGTAGGAACATATTACCATTTCAAACAAATTTAGCAAATGGCCGCCGGCTGAAACAGACATCAACTGGAGAATTTAATTGTGCTTTAACCAGGATAACAAGTGCGATTTTTAAAGCTATTTAGGAGATTAACACAAAAAGAACAATGTTTTACAAACTGTGAGCCAAATATTAACGGTTTAACAACTAACATAACGGATTTGGACGAAGGAGTCTCGGTCACATGTTCACATCAGCTGTTCATCGGAAATATTTCAAAACTGTTCAATTACGACTGCTATTGTCTTGATCGTTCCTTGGAGGCATGCTATACATATTAAAATTCTGTATATGGACAGTAGCACCAAAAAACATTGACTGCATATAACCTGGAGCATTTCCAGCCTGAGTGAAATGGGTGGGGTAATTAACAGTTGGAACATTGACTACCTGAGACTGAGTGTTTGGAGCAGAGACTGGAGGTTCGATTTGTGTAGATGACAGCGGAGACTGCATTGGAACAGAAGTGCAATTTTCAAGGTAAGAAGCATTTGTACATGTTGCAGATTTATTTGTATTAATTGATCTCACTGAAGTGGCAGATTTGCTTAAGATATTAGAGCAAGTTTTTTGCTTTTTTCAAAGACATATTGCTGTAATTGATTATGCTTTGTACACATTCATGCCCAGTGATCTGCATGATATCAGTAGGTGCCTGGTCCGAATCCCTGAGCTTTTGTATTGTGTGTTTTCTGGGCAGAATGGTTAGTAAGGTGCCGTGTAATGCCTGATTTTACAGTCATTGTTTTCATTAGTGTGCCAATTTTTTAATTCCAACACGTTGGTTTAAAAAACCATTGGTCAAATTCTGTAGGTGGGGTTGTTCTTGGTGCCAAATAAAATGGGTCCGAATCCCGACTGAATCCATGTGGACGCTTGGCCGCATAGTATCTGTAGGCAGATACTGGATCCCGCTCATCTCCACTAGACCACATACGTGGAGGAACCTTCCTAGATCCACCACTGTCTCCAGTGCGTGTTTTAGTCTGGCGCTCTGTAAGTTCCAGAAACTCGGTGCCCTCCGCATCAATCTTTACTTGTATGTCGCCCCAACTGAAAACAATGTTTTTATTTGTACAATTTTTATTGATAAATATTTACATGTTAATTTATGGGTTTTTTTTGTTGTTTTTTTTTAGTTTTAAGTATGCAACTAAAATTTAAATTTTATTCCAATTTCAGGTTGTGAAGCTCGGCCACATGAAATTTTATTTTGAATGGCATTCTGAACAGCCTTTAATGTCTACATTCCAGATAAACGTTACTAGAAGATTTTGAGATAAGTGATTTTGAAATAAAAATGTTTTTTATACATTTAAATTTTTAGGTTTAATAATCTGACTGAATTAACTGTCTTTTAATTAATAGAGATGACATTTTAATTTACCATAAGTGATAGTGTTCTTCTACACTTCTCAAATGCCGAAATGTATGGTGAATGTTAACCACAAAGTGTTGATGATAGACTGTGGTGAAGAAAAGACCTAGTTGGCCGCTATCATAAAGCCTGTCAATCTCTTCGTCTGTTATTGGTTTTGGGCAGCATTTTCTTTGTTGCCTTTACCTGATTTTTCAGATTTTTTGTTTTTGCCTGAAATTTACATGCTAATCATTTTATTGTTTAAAAAATAGCTGATTTATATCATTATTAAATTATTATTTGTAGAAAAATTAAAAGATCATTTGAGCCGTGTCACGACAAAACTAACATAGTGCGTTTGGATCTACACCAGAATGCGCGGGGAACACCAGCCTGCGCATCCGCGCATTTTCTGATCAGGATCCATGCTGTTCGCTATCAGTTTTTCTACTCGTTAATAAAGTTGGTTAGCGAACAGCATCCGTATCAGACTGTGCGGATTATGTTGGTTTTGTCATGACGCGGCTCATTTATAAACAAAAATTTATTACAGGAAAAATTTTTTTTAATTATAAGCGAAACAAGTCAGGGTGGGGGGGATTAAACGTCTAGTTTATAATGATGAAATACATGTATCTTGATGCGTCAGTTTTTTGCTGGATTTAATTAATTTCAAAAAGATTATTAAATAGACGTAATAAATTGTAATTACCGATTTAGTCTGATTTGTTAGGGGAAATCCTTGTCTTGAACTTTTGGCTATGGTAAATTGGTATCCATTTTCCTGGAGAACTCTGTCAAAAGTAGAAATGTAGCCTCGTAAACTACTCGGCTCGTAGTCTGTTCCATCTTCTTTCTTAATGGAGAGAAGGAACATGGCAAGAAGTTCATCCAGCTCCATCATTGGGATGGTATGGAAATCTCGTGTTTCGTTTTTCAGTTTTAGAAAAGTTTTTAGCCTGTTTATATGTTGGTTAGTTTTACGTTTTGTGTTCTGATTTTTTTCCGACTCGTTAAATGCCTTTACCGAGTCCATATCAACCATCATAAAGCCTTTGTTAATATTTTTCAGAGGCAACATCAGTAAGGACAGGTACAGCACTGTGATTTTCATCAATTTGAGGATATTGAGCAGATGCTGCTTGAGAACATTGAGCAGCAGTTTCAGGAATTTGAAGATATTCAGTTGAAACAGGAGTCTTCGAATACTCTGACAGCTGAGAATCAGTCAATAACTTTGTCACATTGTATTGTTTTTCTTCATCAAATTTCCTCATCAAAGATTGATGGATCAATACCAGTGTTGACTTCAAATTCATTCTTGTCATAAATTTCTTCAATATTCATCATTTGAACTTCCAACAAATCATCCCAATGCACATTGAACGTTGCCATCAAGTTGAAGGATTGCAAAATTAAGATCTAAAAGTGCTTATTTGTTGTAGATTCTATTATTAATAATAATTATTTTTGTGAAACTTGAGAATGATGTAAATATTATTAATGTTTTTTTTCCTGTCCTTACTCTGATTTTGTCACTAGGAATTCATCTTTTTCTTAATTATTTAATATTATTAATTTTGTTGTTGTTGTTGTTTTAGATGTCTAAGAGCAGAAGATGTTTTTTTTAAAGATGTAAGCATCTTAATAAGAAATTGTGTAAATATACCTTTAATTACAATTTAATTATTTAAAAATCATTTTTTATTTGATGTAACATTTTTTTTTCAATAAATATGTTTTATTTATGCTGTTTTATCTTGTTATTTTTTGCAATGCTTTAAGCTGTTTACATTGTGAAAGTAGTCCGGCAAAAAGTGGGAGGTGCTTGAAAAATCTGATGTACTCTGACTTTTCCATAGGTTTAAGCATGGAAAAGTGTTCTCAAGTCACTGACTGAGAAAGGTTGCTGTTCTCAGACAGGCTTTATCAGGCAGTTGTCATAGTAATGGCATGATAAAAAACACTGACATTTATATACCGGTATTTAATGTACATGATACACAATAAAATACATTGTATCAATTAGGAGGAAACAGGTATTTCACTAGTAGCTTGCTGTTATTCAAGAAAGTGGTCTTCAACAAGTACTAGCCTGTCCATCGTTAAGTTAGTGTCATCAAATATATTATCAAATAAATCCATTTAATTGGCTAGAGGCTGAATGTTATTTGACAAATAGTATACATGTATAATCAAATTATCTTAAAGAACTACTTCACCTGTCCAAGACTCATGGTCAACAGACCTACTTGCTGATACATCATTAATTGAAAGTAAATGTAAATACAATCATACAAAAATTCAAAATACCATCCTTTATCAAAAACTGATGTTTAAGAAATATATTTTACCAACCTTTTTCTCCTGAAGTTTTCATATACTTGTGGATAGAAAGATATCGACCATGCAACAAAATACACCCAGCCAATAATGGCATTGATTGTAATAAGAATTTTACTGTTGACCAAGTCTATCCTAACAAACACATCTTTCAAGCTGAAATAAAAATTAAATAACATAATTCTTTCTATCAAACCATATCAGGTCAAATTTTGTTGGTAATGACAGGTACCGTACCATATAAAGGTTATTATAAATTACATTTTAGTCCCCCTTCAAAGCAATTGCAATAATATAGACTAAGATATCTCTTTAAAAGCTTGTAATTAGAAAGAAGTCTCCCCTTAAACCTTATCATTAGAAATAAGTATCTATTGAAAACTTAAACTTCAGAACTTAGGAAATAATCTCCACTTATAGAAAATAGTTTCTCTTGAAAGCTTGTCTCTGAAATTAGACTCACTTTGCTAAGCACTGTTGAAATCACTTTCTTTACAAAACATATATAGAGGATATTGAATGAGTGTAAGTTCAATACTGAATTTATTGCACGAGTTGAATAAAATTATATTATGCGAGCCTCTGGCAAGCATAATATTATTTTATTCAACGAGTGCAATAAATTCAGTAATGAACTTACACGAATATTATATTCTATTTATCACATACCCAAAATAAGGACCATTTAAAGTGAAATAAGAGTCAGTTTTAATTGACGCGCCTATAGTATAACGCTTACATTTAGCGCGTCTTTACACTATGTTTGTATAACGCTAATGACATCACGTCAAAATATATGCACGGCCGTGCAATACCATATTTATGGAGTCGCAAAATCGGCACGGGTGTGTGATAAAATATATACCAAGATAAACCTGTAAATTTATAAAAGATTGATCTAGAACAAATTGCAGAAATTTATATCTAAATAATTTAATACAGATGCTTTGTGGTAAGTAGTTATGTGTTAGTTTCAGGACATATTATAGGAAATTATGTCACTTCTTAATGAAACACACTGTAATAATTGTTGTTTACAATACACAAACCCTTAAACAGTAATGAATTTTTCATTTACCATGTAAAATTCATAACAAAACAAAAAAAAGAAATATCAGGCTACAGGAATTTACCAAAGTTATCATGGCCTTTAACATTAAGAAAATGTGAAAAAGAGGAAACTTCAAATTGAATTAAATATAAATATCTTAAGGTAAATATCTATTTAAGACAAGTGTCAATCTTTAAGTACATTGTATCTAATCAATCATTCCAACCTACTAATAAATCTACAGAGAATATCAAACAAAATACATAGGGCATCAGAAAATGTACAAAAGAAAGAATAAATTAAACTATACTTATAAGTTATTACATACCCCTGAAATTCTGATGAATTTGAGCTTAGTCCTATGATTAAATGACCAGGATTATTACAAGTTATATCTATTGTTTTGTCAATGCTAGTGTTTGCTGTCACAGTTAAATTTGGCAAAGGTTTCACATAATCATCTGAGCCCTGAGTAAATTCAGCTCCTCCATTTCCAATCTGATATGTAAACTGTATTGTAGTGTCATTCACAACACTGCCACTGAAAAGTAAATAAGATTAATGTATGTCTAAAGCTTGAGACATTACTCTCTTACTGAGTGTATATCAATTTATACATTTATATTACCATTAACTGATTAAGCTAATAACAACTGGTATCTTATAATAGACAGTTAAATTTAGCGCTACTCTTTTTTGATGCTACATTGTGTATAAAAAGATGTTTTGAATATTAATGGCCTTTTGAAGTGCCTAGCAATCACAACTGTGACAGAGAAATTTGTAGTCATATGACAAATACATGTACATCACCTTTTGTTTGTTTTTCAAGTAAAAGTTTTACTATTGATGATTACTGATAAATTTCATTTCCACAACACACAATATTGATCAAAAATAATAAGAAAAAAAAATACATACTTTGATTTAAGTTTAATAGATGCTGTCTGACCAACAACAATCTGTAAGTCACTTTCAGAGAATTCCAATCTTATACAGGATGCTTAAAGAAACATAAAGATCTAAAATTAATTGTGTAGACATCACACTTACATTCGCCACTAGAGCCTCTGGTTACGTCAAGTAGGCCTATGAAAGTGCTCAAGTTCAAAGCAAGAATCTAGAACATTTATGAGTCATTTTCAAAGAGATAGCCATATCTATAACCGACAATTAATAATTGAATATATATACTCAGTAAATAAAGTTTCATAGTATATGATAATGTAGTCAAAATAAATTGATGTGCCAAAGCTAGATTCTGAGATATTTTTATTTTGGGTCAGAATCTCGCTAGATGGAAGATAGTGCCCATACACAGAATACCACAATATATCACATCACATACAATTATAGTCGTACAATTACATGTTGGACATCATAAAATTGAATCCCATAGACTGAAGCAAAGTTATTTTAAATATTAAGTAAGCATTAAAGGTAAACAAAACTATATCACACACAGTTTGCCAAGCTACACATCCCTTCTCTCTTTAACAAAAAATTGAAACACAACAGTACAAATCATAACTGATTTAGTGAGTAACAAATAAAAAAGTCATAAATTAATCAATTTAATTAGTAAACATACACATAATATATGAGGCCACGTTTAATCACTTACCTGCTTTAAAGCATAAACACACAAAAATAAGCTGCTTAAAAAGCATGATTTCTGTTCTAAATAAAAATGTCTTTTGTTTACAATAATTTCTCAACTACACATTATATGTCACATGATCAATCACATGGGGCTTCAGTTACATTTATATCATTGAAAATAAAGGTTTACTGTATAAAAGTTCATCTTAAATAAAAATTTATATATGTACACTACAAAGCATATTTCAAATTAAATTGTTTACTATGAATTTGATAAAAAAAATCCTAAAAGATATGTTTTGTTTGATTTTATATATTGTATATGATATAAGCAATTAAAGATGGCTGCCTTGGTCAAATTTTCAAGGTGAGAAAACTATTTAGGAGGTTTATAGCATTCCTTTTACATTTTTATTACATAAAATGAGATGTTGAGAAAATAAAAAGTTAAATATTTGGCTTTCACTTCCAAGTTTGATCTTTGAATACATAATTTAACCTTAACGTCCAAATGAAATATGATTTCGCGATGTTTATGATTTATCTATTTGACAGAAATTTATACAGGTTCTTCTAAATTCTAAAACTGCAATTACCATTGTGTTACCTTAAACTTCAAGGCACCTAACCTCAATTGACATTGAAAATTTTAATATGAAAAAGGCAAAGCCTCAAAGCGAGCTCGATGTACTTTTAACGTGAAATAGTATGAAATAATCGCTCATTTTTATTTCAAATGCAGTGACGAGTGCGTGTGACGTCACACGTACTGTGTTAAATATGGCTCCGCCCCTGTCGTTAAATGAATAATGAGTTTTGAAAACGTTGATAAAATTTTGTTTGTTTATTTTATTTCACTCTAATATGAAATTAGGCAAAGCCTATGAACAGTCGTTAAAAAAATTATTTTCATTTTTTCCGTTTTAAAGGTGTCATTCGTTATTTAATACATCGCTTCCTTTTTCACTCGGAACACTCGGCGATTATTATTAATCCGAAAAGTTGAGATTTGTTCCGTTATCGGAATACCCCGCCTATTATCAATGAGTTACATTGTAAATGGCGGCGCCCGACTAGAACTGACACTGAAAATTTCATTGATAGGTATAGAATTTTATATATATTTTAATTGTTTTTTTATTTCATTTTCTTTGAAATATACACGTGTAGTCTATAGCCGGGCAAGCCAAAGCCCGGACCCGCTTCGTGGGCCCGGTCTTTGACTTCCCCGTATAATTTTTCAAGCGAAATAAAGATTATTACAAGTGAAATAAATGTAAAACTTTAAACGTTTGCGACATTAAAAAAGCGTACTTGATTTGATTGTTTTGCACGTGTAGTTTTGCGCTACATTGTGACGTCACGTAAACAATACTTTAAACGTCTGTACAGCGTTAACGACTGAATAAAAGATATTGGTGTGCGGATTCATTTTCTTAGTTAGACCATTTTCTTTCATTCTAGATAGTTTTCACAACAAAATTCGACAAAAAAAATGTTTCTATTTATCAGATTTTTCAAACAAAATGGCGCCTTCATTTTTCATTTTCCGTTTTAAAACTGTCATTCGATATTTTATACACAGCTTCCGTAATTCTGGTTCCCTGTCCAATTATGGTTCCCATAGACGTGCGCGGGTGACCAGTCTACACATCCGTTTTCAGTCAGAATTCCTCAGTTTTTATCGTTATCTTTAAATTCGAAAAGTTGCGATGTGTCCTATTCGGTACTTCGGACGAAAGTTTTCAAAACCATCACTTAGCAGGTACTCGCGTTACCGTAAAGCTCGCTTTGTGAGCAGGCCCTTTGGGCCAGCTCGTCGAGCTCGCTACTAATAGGTACAGAAATCTGAATTTTTTTTAATTTGAATTCCTTTGAAATATACATGCGTAGTCTATTGCTGAGCAAGCAAAAGCCCTTTGACTACCCTGCATTACATGAAAATGACAACATCTCTCACTGTCAATTCCTTGATATGAAAGTAGGCAAAGCCCAGTATGGAACATGGAAGTCAGAAAATAAACTGAATATCAAGGGCTGTGTAAACTAATCTCGAGTTTTTACCATTTCTTCAACTATTTGCTCCAAGAACTGTAGGATTTAAAACTGTTCGAAATAATTAATTTAGTCATTAAGATATGTATGTTTTACTGCTAAACATCTGGTTGATACGACACTTGCAAACTTTCGCTATATGTATATGCAGTATTTAGATAGAGCGGAAGTCGGTGCGTAAGCATGGGCTTTGTCATGTGTCGTTCAGTTACCGTTCATGTTTTCAACGTGGTTGCTACGAAGCGTCATGTGTTTGGCTGCTACTACACTTAAGGACTTAGAATACATGGCTTTTACAACTAATATATCAGTCAAACAAATTAAATCAACACACATAAACTACAAATAGTTGTTTTCCATATTAATAATTTGCATTTTCAACTGATCGTCAAACAAACATCTCAATATTCTTTTCTGTTTAATATATTGTTTACATGTGGTGACAGCTACTGCTAGTTAGCAGGCGAACTCTATGTTATATTACTTCCGGTCAAGAAAATTCCTTTGTTTACCATCAAAACTCAGATGTTTACCAACGCTACCATATATAGATAGAAAATGAATTATATAATGTTATTGAAAAAAAGGTCAGTTTCTTATCAAAAAATCAAATTAATAAATACAAAGTCTTTAGACAAGGTCCCTTCTTTGAGTTCATTTAAAAGGGGAATAATTTGGCAGAATTTTAAACAGGGAAACATGAGTTATCAATCGTGGCTAGGGAATATGGCCGACTGAACTCATGCAAGCGAGTTTGTAAGTGTACAGAATACATGCAACTTCATATGACATATTTCAGGTCTTGTGTTTGAGATAATTTTGAAACAACATTTTCACATTTTGTAAGGATTCTCTAGAAGTACAGACATAAAAAAAATACTGTAACTAATTCTGTAAAATACAGGTGGTTATTTGAAATTTTATATTCTTCTGTGTATAAGCTTTAAATAAAATTAGCTGTTTTTTAATGAATTTCAGACCATTAAGACAGACAACATGCTGTGTTTGCCCCAAGTTATCCAGTATTCGCAATGAACGTTACAACTGCAACAGGGCCTCAATATGCAGAGAAAAAAAGCATGGCTATCTCAGAACATATCCAGCATTGTTAGTTTTCCCAGATGGATCAAGTGTTAATATCAGATATGAAAAACCTAGAAATATTATAGTAGTAAGTTTTTAAGTAGGAATATACTGTAAATTGATAAAAAAAAGCAGATTGAAAATGTAATCTTCTCTTTTATTTTGCTGGAAGTCTGAAATATCCATTGCCTCATAATGATAAGTATTACAAGTATATGTATATGAATAATCAAAACTATTATCAGGCTTATTGTCATTTATTTTTGGAAAAATACCAACTCTGAAATTGGGGGAATTGGGAAATGAATTAGAATTTTTGGCATTTTAAGATACACAACATATAAAAGTACTCTCATTATATTCTTTTTACATACAATGTATTCTCTTGAAATAAAAAAGAAAAAGATAGAAGCAGTTAATAAAGAAACCAAGAAACCACATTCTGTCTCAGTCTGATATTGGATTTCTAAATTGACTAAAAGAAGCTTTATTTTGAGTGAAAGGCCATAATTTAATTCTGCCTTATTATGAAAATAACAGTTTAATGAGGTTTGTTGAATATGGCAATGGGTGACCCATTTCTCAATATTTTCAGACATAATTAAACAATATACAATTATAATTAACATAATTAAAGTAAACATGATTGGAAGTAAACAAACATATATAAAAATTATATATGCCAGCAATCAGTAATACTGAATTATAACTGAATATGTCAAATAAATAAATAATTACTGAATCTGTCGAATAAATAGATTGTAATCTGTTTCCTTTTCATGCAACCCTTAAAGGGACTCCACTGAGGTTTTTGACATGATGGTACTGAAAATAATGTTTCGAGATTAAAGTTCCATTTGATATAGGTCGAGACAAATAACTTGCGTGCGAAATTTCAAATCAATCTCTAACTCCATTTTTCCAGAACAATAACTTACTGTGAAAGACGACTCGAAATTGAAACGAGTTGCAAAGACTTTCACTCAAATTGGGCTAAGTGTAGCACAAAAATATGATTTTCAAAGTTATGATTTTTCTTATTAATCTTTTGCATATCTTTCTGTTTTAATTGCCCAAGCTGATTTATGAAAGAAATTCAAATTTCATGTTTTTAGGTTTTTTGACCTCAGTGGAGTTCCCTTAAATTAATTTTGGTCTTTTTTTCTTGCAGTTACCTGTAGATGTTTCCAAATTAACAGAGAAAGAAAAAGAAGCCAGGAATCTGAAATTTAACCCACCAAAGAAAACTGAAATTAAAGAGGACTTAGATGATGATTTTGACACAAACAAATATACAAGCATGTTTAAAAAGAATAAGAAGAGTAAGAAAAAGTGACTTAATGTAAAGCAAAAGGGTTTATTATGACAAGTGTTTAGAACTGATCTTTGTATCATTAATGAATATAGACTTAAATGATGGCCCTGCAAGTGTGAATACTGATGTTTATTATTATAAATCGATTGATGAAAGCACTTAAAGTAAAAAGAAGACATAAGCAATTCTCATTTTCACTGGTGAACAAAATGATTGAACAAGAATATTACATGTTTTTTTTTTCAAAGATGGAAAGATACTGGCAGTTTTTAGAAAAGGAGCATGAAAAGGCAACATTCAATAGACCAAAATTATGCAGCATATATTATGTTATTGATTATGATGAAGTTATTAAAATTTTAAATGCACATACCAACATTTTATTTGTTTAATTTTGTCTCCATGTAAATATACTACATGTATATGTAGTATAAGCTCCTGCGATTTTTATATGCATTCACTTCAAAAGTGATTGGGTTGGTTCCTGTACAGATGTCCAGTTTTCCTTGTCAAGGAATAAGCTGTGGTTCATGTAACTTGTTAGGGACATTACCCATGGCCAGTAGATGAGTTTGAGGTCAAAGGTCAAGGTCACAGTGACACCTAGTGTTAAATCCTTGTCCAATCTAAAGATAGAATATGTCACCTTGTTTAAGTTGATAGGGACATTGTCCATAGCTAGAGGAGAACACCAATATATCTTTAGGGAAAAAGATCAAGGTCACAGTGACATTTTGTGTAAATCCTTGTCTGATCATTAACTTAAGAAGAAATAAGAGGTTGTTAAATTTGCTGGGACAATTACCAAGGTTAGTTGAAGATTTACTGATTTTTTAGATCATTAGGTCAAGGTCACAGTTCAGAGTTGCACTGCATATCCTTATCTAATCAATAAATTAATTTGAGTTTCTTTCATCATAGTTTTGTAAAACTTATCTATCTGACAGTTAGGTATGTAAATGCATAAATTGTGAAAGGCAAATGAAGTGGGGTGTGGTGTTTAAGATTTGTTACAAAGTAACCAACATCCTCCACTTAAAGGCAGTTGTGTTATTTGACAAGTTTGAGGTATAGATGACTATCTAAGTGTAACTTTGACCTGCTGAGTTATTGGTCAGACAGGAAATGTACCAGATGGACAGACAGATGGAGCCTATTTCTATATCACTGTTTTTTTCTTTAAAAAGGCTGGGGGGAAAAAGCCTGTCTACACTAGGTTTTGACTCGAGGCTGTTTAATTTTGTTATGTGAGAATACTTTTTAAATTACAGCTAGAAGACAGGCTGTTCCACCAACTTGCTGACCGCTACCTGTAATATAATAATTATGAGAAAGGTCTTTATCCTCTTCCAAAGATTCCAGGTCACCATCTTGCATTTTTGCAAAGTTTGTTGTCCATTTATGATGTGACTTAAATCACTTGTCTCTTACTGCTGTGAGTTTGCATTTCTACACTGAGCTTTGAGTCTTTCAAGTGAGGATGTTATCAGTCTTGCTTATTGTAGCCTGAGGCACAACTCTAATGTGCCTGAAATAATGCACACACACTTCCTGTACAAAAAAAAGAGGGGAAGTGGTAGAAATGTATAAATACATGTATGTTACAAATGATTAGTCTAAAAACTGGACACCTAAGCATTGATTTCAAGAAATTTTACACATGGTTTTTTAAAATTTTATTTGTTGTTTTAATAAATTTGAAATTTATTTCTACTGAAGACAAAACATGATTAAAGTTGTTATCTCCCTTTGACTTCAATATGTCATTTTAAACAGATGTGGTCTGTTTGTTGGCTAGTTTATTTGGTTTTATGGTCTACAATTAAGGTCCTATGGTGTCAAAACATGAAAAATGATTTTGGCAAACATGTGTGCTACAAACCCTAAGCAACATCAGGGGTCAAATTCAGGTCACCTGCTGATGCTAAGAGTTGCATAAACTCTAGTAATTTGAATCAAATAAGTCACCTCTTACAATCATGCAGGGTTTAACAGTGGCTGCACTTAAGTGGTCTGAAAGAAGATAAATCACTCTATGCATTATCATTGTCTGCAACCATACATAGGAAGGAAGATTTATGGAAATACATGGAAGTAAAACTTTTATCCATTTATAAACTGCTGAAATGTGAAGCTTCCATTGTTGGAACTGCCCATTGCAGTAAATTCAAGATGAACATTTGTAAAACTGATCAAAACAATTCAGAGCATAGTTTGACTGAACAGATATGCAGGATGGTTGTGCTCTATACTGGTGGAAAAGGCTCCTATAATTATGTACTTAGTGCTAATGGTTTCAGTATGGTACACATGAACAAAACTGCTGTTGAAAAGAATTAACAGTGAAGTAATCTAAATTCGACAATAACCCTTTTAAGTTCTTTGTTTTGTTAAGTCCACACCAACAATACCATAGTAGACCTGAGCTCGCATGACGTTAACTTTATGAAAACAATTATGCATCATTTTAATAAAATTTTAAGGAATACATAACATCCCTGTTATTCCCTGGTTTTTGGGGACTTCAAAGGTACATCAATATTGAATGTGTTTCTACTTTAATTCTCTTCAATTTTAAACAGACTGTTGATAATAGTCAAACATAATGTTCATGAAGGCCCTGTCATTTTCAGTTAAATGAAGTACATGTATTTCATTTGTTGGGTTTAAAAATCACACCAGCACTCTCATGTACTTCGGATGACTTGTTTCCATGGAAACCTGTACATTGTTTTGGCATAAATTGTCATAAACATAGCCATCAACTTCCAATGAGTTTGGATAAAGCTGGTTTACCTCCTGAAAAAATTCAACTTCACTGCCAGGATTCCAACTATGATTGGAGCATTAGGCATTTATGTTCATGTTCAAAGCTGGGCATCTTAGCAGCTCACTGTATTAAAACTGCATGCCTTCAGATGAGCCAAACTACTTCAATAAAATCAAACTTGAGAAAATTAGGAAAAGTACAATGATTCAAGATTAAAGTACATGTAGTAATTTACATGTTATGCATAATTAATGACTGATTTATTAATTATAACTATTTTTCTGGCTATTTTTGCATACTTTGACTCTTTTTTTTTTTGTAAATGACCTTGGGTGTAAAGTGCCATTGGTAATGTGTAAATTGCTTCCTTTTGGTAACTTTACAATATTATGCTTTTAAATACATTATCAAACACTTGCATGAATCTGGACACATGCTGCTTTAAATAGCCAGCCTTACTTGGCACAAAATGCAATGGAATATATTAAAAGTAAAACAAAAACACAATAAACCTTAAATTCATATAGTAATATTTATTTCATAAAAAAACAAAAAACAATTTTAAACAAAATCAAGCAGAAAACATGAACAAAATGGCCCTTTATTGCTTTAAATTTCAATACTTCAAGAACAAAAAGAACAAAATATTCAAACTTGGTATGAATGGCATGATTGAAAAGAAATTCTAGTACACCACTTTTTTGCCAAAAGTTTGGAAATGTTTCTAATTTCCGCAATATACAAAAGTACATGCATTTTACAAACAGATCTCCATATGGACTGAAAGGTTTGCACATGATTGAAATAATTTTGAACAGTCATTCAATTAAGGATCTGTCACACTAAACATGGACATATCGGTTTCATAATCATCTTAAAAGTGCATTATATAGTGGTAGTATATAATATATAAATATCAAAAATTAACCTTTCATAGTATGAAATTAATGCTAAAATATTTAAATAAACAGTATTTTCTTAACAAAATTAACATCTTGTTTGAACAACAGTTTATTCTGAAAAGTACAATTGTGTGTACACGGGTCAATGAAATATCTACCATTTTCAACTGGTAAATGATCTTGTAAATAAATATTTAACTACACAAGTGTTTGAATTACTTAAAAAAATAACACTAACTCTTGTTAATCAAGTTGAAATTCAAAGCCTAAAAATAAACATTTGACTGGATTTCTAATTGCATTGAACTATTGAAAATCATAATGCTGTATATCAAAATATACCAATGTTCCAAATTTAGACCCCAAGTTGATATAATAAAGTTTATAAATTAGTTCACAGAAAATGCATACAAACATTTCATATACGTGAATTTTGAAATAATAAGGTGAATTTACATAATTTTGTGAACACGAGTTCATGAATCTGTCACAAGGAGCATTTTTCATTGGTTATAAATTTTGTGGAATGTATTTGTGCAAAAAAAAAAGTAAAACAAAGATAATAAAATGCCAAATAATCTTTACCCAGATGAAAAAGAAATTTTGTTGAAATCTTAAATTTGTTGATTGGCGTATTCCACAAACACCATTAATTTGTGGATTGACGTATTCCACGAAAACCATTAAACTAAGTGCCCCATGAATGATAATGATAATGCCAGTTGGGGTAATTTATGCTAAATGATGGATGATCCAGTCACCCCTTCAGGCTCCTAGAGTACAGACGCCTGCACACATTAAGATGGATTTTGTTCCCTGTTATTCATGTGAATTTGTCATAGTCTGACCTTGAGACAGGTAGAAAAGCCTTAACTTAGAGTGGCCTGTTCAGGCTCAAAAGTTTTGGCTGGCCTGACAATGCTCGTGATCAGAATTGCACTTCCACAAAGAACAATCAGTCAATTTCTTTTCATTTAATGCATAATTCAAGAAATTCTATTAACATTTATCAGACATAAATAGCTATGAGTCAGGTGACACATGACAAAATATGCATCACTTGCTATTATTATATTTGCATACCATAATACAACTGTAGCGTTAAAGTACATAACACATTGAATGTGCTATTAAATGACCAGAAATGGTGTAAAATTACTGGTGTAACAATTCTATAACTTTAACTTGATATGTAAAACTGCCAATGAATGAATGAATAAATGTGAATGAATGAATGTTTTAATTTTCTAATGTTTTTCAACTTCTATTAATTGTATTAAAACAAAAATTAATTGTATCAAAAAAAAAATAAATACACATGTAAAAGGGGGAATACTGGCAATATTTTTCAATGGAATGAAATTTTGAAAATATCATCGAAACATGAATTGTTATTTTTCTTATGGATTTCAACCTAAAACTATCGTCAAAAGAAAAATAACTGTATCAAATGCATACAACACAAAATGAGTGATATAATACTGTCTACACATATTCAGATGGAATGAAATGAAAATTTGCATGGCAAACAATTATCTATGGTTTTCAACCTCTACTTTTTTATCAAAAAAATAAAACTACTTGTATTAAATACATACTACTACATTAAGGGAAGACACAATCTCTGAAATGAATTAACATTTCGAAATATAAATGAACTGCGTCATGACAAAACCAACATAGTGGGTTTGCGACCAG